CAAGGGGTGCCCTTGGTGCTGAGAATTGGTGGCCTGAGTGATGGGATGATGCAGGCAAGAGGAAACTGTTCTTCCCCCCCTTTTTGTGTGGTTATTCTCAGGTTTTGTGTTCCACTGTGTTGCTGAGGCTTCTTAAATAGATTCCAGAGCTATTTTCATTTGTGGATAAGTATCTAATTGTTCTTTGTAGAGGGACAGATATGGGGCCTCCTACTCCACCGTCTATGTGACATCCCTCATTTAAATTTCTTTAATTACTGTTTCACTATATTTTTTGTTATTTTTTTCTGGCTGCTCTAGGGCTTGCATATACATCACAACTTGTCGGAATCAGCTTCAGATTTATACTGGCTTAATTTTAATGAGATACAGAAATATTACTACTATATAGTTCTGTTCCTTTCTCCCTCTTATGGTTTTATTGTTATGCAAATTGCGTCTATTAATGTTACAAACCCCAGAATACATTGTTATAATTATTATTTCACCATCTATAGTTATTTTCTTATCCCAGTACAGCCTTTCTCGTAGGTACTTCCTTTGTGCTGTTATTGGCAAATATATTACATTTCTGTGTGTTATACGCTGGACAACACATCACATACATATTATTTTATGCATTTGCCTTTTATGTCAGTTAGGAGAAGAAAGTAGAATAATAAGTATGCATTTATTACTATCATTTATAAATATTTCATTACCTTTACCAGTCCTCTTTGTTTTTTCCTGTGGATTTGAACTACCGTCTGTGGGTACTTGCTTTCAGCCTGAAGAACTTCCTTTTATATTCTTTCATGTAAGATGAGTCTGCTAGCAACAAATTCTCTCTCTCTTTTAATAAAGGAATTGCTTTATTTTACCTGCATTTTTGCAACATTGCTTCTTTGATGGATATAGGATACTTGGCTGACACGTTTCTTGAACACTTCAATATGTGATCCCACTGCTCTCTCCATTGTTTCTGCTGAGAAGTCAGCTATTAATCGTATTGGAGTTCTCTTGTAGGTGATGAGTTGTTTTTCTCTTGCTGCTTTCAAGATTTTCTCCTTGTGTCTTACTTCTAGCATTTTTACTATGATGTGTCTTGGTTTGGCTGTCTTTTTGTTTATTCTTCTTGGAGTTAAGTGAGCTTTCTGGATGAGTAGGTTAGTGTTGTTCAGTAAATCTGAAAAATTATCAACTGTTGTTTCTTTGTATGTTTTTTCAGCTTCTTTCTCTCCTTTCCTGTGAAACTCCCATTCTTCTCATTATGTTGGTATGCTGAATTATTCCTCCAGTTGGTATGCTGAATATGCATGTCCCACATTTCTGTGAGGCTCTGATCATTTTTCTCTCTGGTTCCTGTTTTGTGTAATCTCTGTTGATCTACATTCACACTAATTATTTCTTCTGCCAGTATATATATATATATATATATATATATATATATATATATACTGTTGAGCTCCTCAAATGAAATTGAAATTTTTCATTTCAGCTATTATACTTTTCTTTCTTTTTTACTAATTTCTCTCTCTTTGTTGACATTCTCTATTTGATGTGACATTGTTATCCTTTACCTTTTTAATCATAGTTTCCTTTAAGTTCTTTTTTTTTAAAGATTTTTATTTATTTAATTTTTTCCCCCCAAAGCCCCAGTAGATAGTTGTATGTCATAGCTGCACATCCTTCTAGTTGCTGTATGTGGGACTCGGCCTCAGGATGGACGGAGAAGTGGTGCCTCGATGCGCACCCGGGATCCGAACCCGGGCCACCAGCATTGCAGCGCGCGCACTTAACCACCAAGCCACAGGGCCGGCCCATCCTTTAAGTTCTTTACACACATTTATAATGGCTATTTTGAAATCTTTTTCTGTTAATCTGACATTTGGTTTCTGTCATAGATAGTTTTTGTTGCCTGCTTTTTTTTCCAGTGTATAGGCCATCCCTTTGTACTTCTTTATATGTCTTGTAATTTTTTTTGGTTGGAAATTGGGCATTTTAGTAATATATTGTAATTAATCTGTATACCGGTCTTTCCACCACCCTCACCCCACTCCCCCAGCTTTTCTTTGTAATTTGCTTGTTTATATGTATAGTGACTGGCTGGCTTAGGTTCATGAGGTCTGTTCCTGCCCCTCCCCATTTTTGCTGTGGTAAGCCTCTGATGTTGCTTCTCAGGGAGGAGCAGCTTTGCTTATGCTCACTCACTCTGAGATGACATTGGTTTTGGCAGAGCTGCATCCTCTCTTTCCCTGACAACACCCATCTATTTTGTTCTGGAAATTTCCAACTGTCTGCTCTACTGTTTTCAGCAATGCCCTGGGTCATAAACTGTTCTGTAGACAAGCCAATCAAATTTGGGCTCCTTTGAAGTATTACTTCCCTGAGGTCAGTGTTTGATTTTTGTTCTGGTCCTAGGAGGGCTCCTCCCAGCTGTCTCTTCTGTTTTTCTCCTGCAAACTAGCTGGCCTAGAGTTTAGCCTGTATCATCTTGAGTCTGTGAACTTCTCCCAGTTGCCTTTCCCCACAGCCTCCACTGTTTTGTGTTTTTGTGTGTGTGTGAGGAAGATCAGCCCTGAGCTAACATCCGTGCTAATCCTCCTCTTTTTGCTGAGGAAGACCGGCTCTGAGCTAACATCTATTGCCAATCCTCCTCCTTTTTTTTTCCCCCAAAGCTCCAGTAGATAGTTGTATGTCATAGTTGCACATCCTTCTAGTTGCTGTATGTGGGACGTGGCCTCAGCATGGCCGGAGAAGTGGTGTGTCGGTGCGTGCCTGGGATCCGAACCCAGGCCGCCAGTAGCGGAGCGCGCACTTAACCGCTAAGCCACGGGGCCGGCCCAACCTCCACTGTTTTTGAGAGCCCTTTTAGGCATGAATTTCTTGTTTGCTGGGAAGAGAGTAAGAGCTGTTTGTCTTACTGTCTGCTTCTCCTCCCCTCACGCAAAATCTCCCAGCCGGGGCTCTGGAGCTTGGAGTGGGATAACTGTACACCTCTGTGTGAGACACCCCTACTTTAGGAGCTGGACACTCAGGAGGGTCAGTAGCCTGAGGTATTTGAATCGCCTTTCCTAATGTGCAGCCATCATCTTATGACCCTGGACAGGGGTGGTTGGAGCCCCAGTATTCCCAGCAGACTCACATCCCAAGTAGAGTTTCTGTTCCATGAGTGGGGGCTGAGTGAGGGAGGGAGTCCCTAGCTCTTGACTGCACTTGCCCAGAACTTAGCCTCAGCAACAGGTGGGTGGGGCAGGATCGGAAATGCTGACACCTTGCCCTTCCTGCGGAAGATAGCCCTCCAGCCGGGAGCTGGAGGGAGAGGGAGCCCTGTGTTGTTGGCTGCACCTGTCTGGGAGGAGTCGGCCTCACTGAGCTGGCAGGCTGGAGGGAAGGAGTGGTCTTGGGTCTCATTTTTCTTACCAAATTTTTGTAGAAGTTTTCTTATGTAGATACTTTTTCATTTGCTGTATGCCTTTAGGACCATTTCTAGAGGCTCTAAATGATTGGGTTTTAAATTATTTTTACCAGTTTTGCTGAGAAGTGGATCCATGTAGTTTCTCAAACTGTCATGCCTAAAGTCGAACTCTGTTTCCTTGAGTTTTCTATTGTTTTTCTATTTTTAATTTCATGATTTCTGCCTTTTATTATTTCCTTACTTCTACTTGCTTTGAGTTCATTTGTTCTTCTTTTTCTAGTTTCTTGAGGTGAGACTTTACATTATTGATCAGACTTTTCCTCTTTTCTAACGTTTGCATTCTATTGTTGGAGGGAGAGGGAGCCGTGTGTTGTTGGCTGCGTTAGCACTATTGTAGCTAATGTTCCACACATTTTGACCTGTTGTATTTCCATTTTTATTCAATTCATTGTATTTTTTTATTTTCCTTAGGAATTCCTCTTTGATCCATGGATTATTTAGAAGTGTGTTGTCTTTTTATATCCTTATTCTTTAAAAGGTTCTGCTGCCCCCTAGTATCTAAAATGAAGCAATGTGTAAACAGTTTGGAACTATACCAAGTGAAGAGGTCTACTGTTTTAATGTGGGTTTTGGTAATGACAGAAAGAGTTAACCATGATATTCCATACTCTGAGTACATTATAAATTCTGCATTGATTCTATAATATTTCTTAGCTAAATGTACATAATATTAGATCATTCACATTAATCTTTTTTTTATTTGGTGAGGAAGATCAGCCCTGAGCTAACATCTGTTGCCAATCCTCCTCTTTTTTGCTGAGGAAGATTGGCCCTGGGCTAACATCCATGCCCATCTTCCTCTACTTTATATGTGGAACGCCTGCCACGGCATGGCTGGATAAGTGGTGCATGGGTCTGTGCCCAGGATCTGAACCTGTGAACCCTGGGCCGCTGAAGTGGAGCACGTGAACTTAACCACTACGCCACCAGGCTGGCCCCAATCATTTTTTTATAAGAGTAAAGCAAATTTGTAATTGGCTTATTTGTACGCTGATTTTTAGAAGGTTCAAATTATTTCTTAACAAATGTAGAATGGGCTGCTTATTGGGATACTCCAACTTTACAAACAAATTAGTTATTTTGGGCATAATGTTTTTCACTTTGAAATCTTCTGTGGGGCCGGCCCCGTGGCTTAGCGGTTAAGTGCGTGCGCTCCGCTGCTGGTGGCCCGGGTTCGGATCCCGGGTGCACACTGATGCACCGCTTCTCCAGCCATGCTGAGGCCGTGTCCCACATACAGCAACTAGAAGGTTGTGCAGTTATGACATACAGCTATCTACTGGGGCTTTGGGGGGGGAAGAAAAAAAGAAAAGAAATCTTCTTTGATTTCCTTCTGGGGGGGCGGTGTGTAATGGCATTTAAAAAATTAAATATCTGTTACTCCTGTGTTCGTGTAGAACTTGAGTTAGTAGATTTAATAGGTTATTTTATATAAATTCTTTTAAAATTGGGCTTTCTTAGTGTTTTAAAATGATATTAAGAAGAAATATAAATTGTAGGCCACATGCTTTATGTATGAATGATGATCATTCTGTCTTTGCAGATTTTGAAAGATATAGCCAATCGATACCATATGATGAGAGGTTCCAAAATACATTTTGTGCCAGGCTGGGATTGTCATGGGTTACCCATTGAAATAAAAGTATTATCAGAACTTGGTGCAAAAGCTCAGAATCTTTCAGCTGTGGAGATTAGAGAGAAAGGTAAATAAGCACTATTTCTGCTTTAAAATGGTATTTGTAAACACTGGTTCTTGGGAAAAGTCAGGGCTTTATGAAGGAGACCTTTTGTTTTTTTGTGTTTTGTTTTTGTTTTTTTGGTTGTAATGAGATTTGTTGGAAGCCACTTTGTGTCACAGGAAATTCAGATTTGGTTTAACTGACTTTTGTGAGAACTTATGTTCAGAGATTGAAGGAAAGATTTGCAAGCATTTCCAAGTACATTTTTCAGTTCTTTTGTCTTCATATTTTGTGAAATTATTATTTTGGTCAGTGTTTTTGTTTACTTTCCTGGCTAGGGCTTGGTGATTTATTTTAAGTGCTAAACCAAAAGTATATTCTAAAATATATATATATGTTTTATTAATGTATATATTAATCCCTTGTAATATATATTATATATACCCTTATATATCTGTTATGTATATATATATATACACACACCCATATATTATATATTTTTATGTATATATATATATTTTTTAAATTAGTCTCCTATTTGATCCTTTACTTCAGTAAATTGAGTCGGGGGGAATCTTCTAGTCCTATATGTTAAACTATTGTATACTTGGATATGATTGTGAAGATTTTTTTACTTCCTTATGAAACATATTATTATTGGCTTAGGATGTATGATTAATGTTTTGCATGTATAATGAAATGATAATTTTTCTCTGACCTTATCTTAAGAAATATGAAGAATAATTTTTCCGGTTTATTTTTTCAAAAGGCAAGTTCATTGTATAAAGTCTGGAAAATACAGAAGACAGTGACAAAGTTTTAACTTTTGAAATTTTAGTTAATTTTAGAATTTGTTGGAGGTATCTTCTGAATACCTTTAACTTTCTTTTTTTGTGTGTGAGGAAGATCAGCCCTGAGCTAACGTCCATGCCAATCCTCCTCTTTTTGCTGAGGAAGACTGGCCCTGTGCTAATATCCGTGCCCATCTTCCTCTACTTTATGTGGGACGCCACCACAGCATGGCCTGACAAGCGGTGTGTCAGTGCACGCCTGGGATCCGAACCCGGGCCACCAGCAGCGGAGCGTGTGCACTTAACCGCTACGCCATGGGGCCAGCTCTGAATACCTTTAACTTTCAAAACAGTTTTCCTATTAAATGAATTTGTAGTCTAAATTATATACAGTACCTGCATTTAGAGAAATATATGCTAAACCATGTTTAAGAATTTGAATTAATTGGTTTTCAAAAGCTTTCATTTCTTCCTCTTTTTTTTAGCTAGATCATTTGCTAAAGCAGCAATTGAGAAACAGAAATCAGCATTTATTCGTTGGGGAATAATGGCAGATTGGAATAATTGCTACTATACATTTGATGGAAGCTATGAGGCCAGACAGTTGAGAATTTTCTACCAAATGTATGATAAGGTAATAAAGTACTTTTTTCCTTTGAATATGTTAAATTATGTGTTAACAAAATTCCAGCTTTTATATGTCTTTGTCTCTTCTAGGGCTTGATTTATCGATCTTACAAACCTGTGTTTTGGTCTCCCTCATCAAGGTATTTGTGTGTTTTTGGTAGCTAAAGGGGAGAATTTTGTGAGGCTTCCAAATATTTATGTTTAATATTTTTAAACCTTAGGACTGCATTGGCTGAAGCAGAACTTGAGTATAATCCTGAGCATGTCAGTCGCTCAATATATGTAAAATTCCCTCTCTTGAAGCCTTCTCCTAAGTTGGCGTCGCTTATAGGTAAGATTTATTCATTGCTTTAGTTTATTAAAGTTATGGAATTGTAACATTTGCTAGCATATTTGAAATTTTGTTTTCACAGATGGTTCATCTCCTGTAAGTTTTTTAGTCTGGACCACTCAGCCTTGGACAATTCCAGCCAATAAGGCTGTTTGTTATATGCCAGAAGCAAAGTAGGTATATCATAGCATTTTTTTTTTTGTCCACAAACAGGATCAATTCCGCATTAGCATTATTTTGAATTTATTTCATCCTCATTATCCTCTTAAAATTTAGTGAATTATAACATAGTTATTGTGTTCATGTAGATTTTATTAATCTTTAGATGATTCCATTTACGACCTTATTTCCAGCCTTTTTGGAAAACAAAACAGAAATGTAAGGGATGAAGTCCTTTGCAAATAGTACTTTTTTTAATCTTGAGGTTAGTTTTTCTAAAATGATGTAAATCATTTAAAATGTTATCAGTGGCTTTTCTTTTTTAATTATCATTAATTTTCTCCTAAAATTTTGTTTTAGATACGCTATTGTGAAATGTTCCAAATCTGGAGACCTCTACATACTGGCTGCAGATAAAGTAACATCTGTTGCTCCTGTTTTGGAAACAACATTTGAGGTTATTTCGACATTTTCAGGTGAAGATTTATAGGTATTCTGACTATCACAGTCATCAAAATATTGAGTTGATTTGAGTTCAGTGCCTTGCTGAACATTGCTCATTGTGAGTCAAGATGGATATGGCCTCTACCTTTCTAGAATCTATTTTACATTGATTAAACTGAAGGAGAATATACATTAAACATGATAAGAGTACAGAAAAATATGAACACTGACAAAGGCACAACTGATAAAAATATTTCTGGCAAATATCCAACATAAAATTGGACAAATGTCCTTTGCACAATGTAGAATGTACAAATATCTGTTTAAAATTTTATTCAAAACTGAATCATTAAAAATTATTTTATCTGATTTAATCAAAGGAGCAAGGAAGGAAGGAAATATATATATTTTTTGCATATAATTTTAATAAGTAAATTGAATAAATACTGAAAATTATTCCAAAGACAGTGCTTTTATCAAAAGAATCCTTTAGTAAGCTGTAATTTGGGACTTCTAAAGTAGTGACTGATTTTGAAATATTACTGTGGAAATCTAGGGAGGTTTAAAATTATCTTTGATCCTTAGGGAAGATATATCTTTGAGTTTCTTACTAAAGAAAAAAAATCACAAGAATAAAGATATTCAAAAATAGAAAAATTTCCTAACTAAATAAGGAAGGCCTCTAAATGCATCAATTCAGATACAAGGCAATTAGAGGTTTAAATAATCTTAGCAAAAGTAAAAAGGTTTTTATGTCAAAGACAGAAAAGGAGCTACAGAATGTTTAATATTTAACATCGTTTGGTCCTTGTTGGTGCAGAAGATAAGTTAGGGGATCCAGTATATGCTTTACTCCATACCCCCCACCTTTTTAAAAAAAATTTTTTTAAATTGGTATGTAATTGAAATATAACATTATATTAGTTTTAGGTGTACAACATAAAGATTCGAGATTTGAATATATTGCGAAATGATCACCACAATAAGTCTAGTTAACATCCATCACAACACAGTTACAAATTTTTTTTCCTTGTGATTGAAGATCTGCTCTCTTAGCAACTTACAAGTATACAATATAGTATTGTTAATTATAGCCCACCTCTTTTTTAAGTGCAGAAGGTATTATAGACTTGATTGACATGTTAGATTTTATTACAGAAGCTAAATGGCATTCTCACACAGTTTTTGAAAGTATTAAAGTTGAATTTAAAGACCGTTTTTCTAGATTGCATAATTTTTTCTAATTATTACTGTGCAGAGCATTGGTTGGTTGCCATTTTGAGCCACCATTTTGAGCCACCATGTTGCAGAGGAGTATATATACTTCTCATTCCTGGCAAAATAAGCTGGTGACAGCTAGCTTACTACTTGTTAAAGTAGTCGGAATGTTGAACAGCTAAAATGGAATAGTTTGTATGGGGTAGATTTTCTTTCCAGAAAAATGTAAGTTGTTTCTTATTAATCATTTGGAGATCTTAGTTGGGAGATGTGGGAGAGTAGTAAGTGGTATATACATTAAGTATGGGGATAAAGGAAAGTAGGTGAAATTTACTTTGACTGCCTCAAACATTTGGTTTCCATACTAAAAATAGCTAAAAAGTACAGCATAGGGTCATGGGAACTGGTTTTATTTATGAATCTAACTGAGAGAAAGGAATCAAAGTGAAAACTACAGTGTAGATTTCTCTAAAAGTCCTTGTTGACATTTTTCTTCTTTGACGGCATTATGAATTATCTGTGAAAGAATGCATCCTGAAGTATTCAAGTTTTTCCTAATAATTCAGGTATTTGCTAGTAATAAAATACTAAGTCAGACAGCAGGGAGAGCTTGTGATTTTTTTTAGAAAAGGGAGTTATGTTGTCATTAGTTATAAGGGAATGTCTGTTTTTCTCAAGCCTCTTACCGGTATTTTAACCAAAATGAAATCAGCGCCAGGGCTGTCAGAGTTAAAAGATTCGTATTGTTCTTCGGGTAGTATGCACTGGTTATGTAGTTTTTATTCCTATATGGCTAGAAAAAAGGATCACAGAGGTGGAGAAATTTCTCTGTGATTATAGATGTTTTTTAAAGTTAATATTATTTAGTTTGGAAAGATGAAGAATGATTTGTGGGGAAGACCTGAGGAGTAAGGGGGCCATTGAAGTTTCTGTAATTATTAAAGAGTAGAAAAACAGACTTCCTCAGTGTATCTCAGTAAGTGGGTAGGTAGAACCAAGTAACCTTTTTTTTTTTTTTTTTTTTGTGAGGAAGATCAGCGCTGAGCTAACATCCATGCCAATCCTCCTCTTTTTGCTGAGGAGAAGTTGCCCTGGGCTAACATCTGTGCCTATCTTCTTCCACTTTATATGGGACGCTGCCACAGCATGGCCTGACAAGCGGTGCATCGGTGTGCACCCGGGATCTGAACCCCGGCTCGCCAGCAGCGGAGGGCGTGCACCTAACTGCTATGCCACAGGGCCGGCCCCCAAGTAATCCTTTTAAAGTGAAGATTTATTTTTAGAATACATGAAAGATGAGTATATGAAACTCAACCCAAGAGGCAGTAAAAGTGGGAAACAATAATACTGGTGTAGAAAACTAACAAGTGATGAGTATGATATATTATTAAAGGGAGCTAGAGTTATTAAAGTTATTAAAAATTTATTTTGAGTCCGGTCTATAGTATGTGCCTAGTAACTGTTAGGTATTATTTGTCATCTTTTACCTTTTTAGGGTAACATTATGAAAAGCAACAACAGTGAGTTCCCACAGAGATAATATTAGAATCTGCTGGTCATTGACCTGTTGATCTAGAATTTCTTTGTTCTTATATTCCAAAAGGTACATAGCTGTACATAAATTAGAGAAATTTCCTTGGACTCACTTGAGTTATCTATATATTATAATAATTGCTAATATTTTAAAGCATTCACAGTGTGGCAGATATTGTGCTAAGTGACCAAATTACTTAAAATGCATTAACCCAGTTTATTCTTACAGCAACCCTCTGAGGTAGGAACCGTAATTATTCACATTTTATAGATTTCTGAAGGTCGCAGAAAAAGTGAAAGGGGATGCCAGGATTTGAGCCCAGTCTTGTTCCCGATTCTACACTTTTCACTTTTCTTGTGTTCTGTTGCTACTCTTAAAGAGGAGAAGAATTGCCATATAAAATGATTCTTAACTGTAGTTTTCTTTCCCCACAGGTGTAGACTTGGAAAGTGGTACTTGTATTCATCCTTTAATTCCTGAGAAAGTGTCTCCTCTTTTACCTGCAAATCATGTGACCATGACGAAAGGAACAGGCTTGGTTCACGCAGCCCCAGCTCATGGTATGGAAGATTACAGTGTGGCCTCTCAACACAACTTGTCCACGGTACTGCTCCTCTTTTTTCCTTTTTAATGATTGCTTTTGTAGAATTAAAGTGATAGTTCCTAACTAACAACTTTATTTTTTGATAATAAACGGTCATTTTTGTCATCATAATTAAAATTGTGAAATGCTTAGGTTTGTGCAATACACTAAATAAAGCCTCATTAATTCATACTAATTGAGAAAGATTTCCTAGAATTAGCACAAAATCAACACAGAGTTAGAATTGAAAAAATATATTAAGTGGGGGAAGTTTTTTTCTTTCAACTGTTAAATCACATAGATTACTTTCAGTTCCTGAAAAATGGCAAGTGAATTTTAGTAAATAGTTGAAAAGAACAGTTTGGTGTTTTTTTTGTTTTGTTTTTAACTAAATAATCTTCTCTAAATTTATTTTACACGTCAGTTACTTAGCAAGTTTTTCCATTTAGTTAAAGGCAAGTCTCATTCATCACAATGTATATACATTACCATAGATCTGTAAATTGTGACCAAGTTAAAGATGTTTTTAGTATATTTTCTTACTTTGTGGTATTAAACTTTGGGTATATGCTTTAATAACACTTTTTGGCTTTTGTGATTTAAATGTGTAAATTCATAAATTCTGATTGACTGAATAAGAAGTGCCCAAATTTTCAGTGTAGTGCAAGACTAGACTGTATTGAGATGTTTTATATATATTGTTTTGCCAGATATTGTCATAAGATAAAACATCTTGATACTTTATTTTAATTGTTCAAAATGATACTTTGTAGGATTGTTTAGTAGATGAAGATGGAGTTTTCACAGATGTTGCAGGTCCTGAACTTCAAAACAAGGCTGTCCTTGAAGAGGGAACAGATGTGGGTGAGTGTTGTGTTTGCTGATATCATAAATACCTATTTTCTGAAAAACAGTCAGCAGTAACCTTTGCCGACTACCCTCCCATCTTATATTTTCAACAGAAACAAAAAGCTAAAATTATATTTTATTTTGCCACATAGTTTAAAATGGAGTTTGGGATTTTTTCATCTTTTGCTTTGAAGTTGCTCTATTTGTTCAAGCAAATCAGAGCAGTCAACAGGGAGTGATGTTGTTTTAGGACTACACAGATAGTGATCAGCAGTATTAGTTCTGTGGAAGGATGAAATCAAGCTTGGGGCTAGATGTTGACTGTGAATCAGACACTCCCCACTCCTTTTGTAACTCTCGTAAATTGCTGACCCAGGTAGCATGGTTTATGTATCGCCGATCTTAGGGGTCCTCCAGTCTTGATTTGTCTTTCTGCGTTTCTAAATTAGGTTTGTGCAATACTCTAATGGATCTAGGGACCAGGTACTATGAAAACCTTTCTTTGCCCACACTAAGACCAAGGCTAATTTAGACCTGGTGTATTACTTCCCTAGGGTTACTGTAACAACTTACCATAAATTTAGTGGCTTAAAACAACAGAAATTTATTCTCTCACAGTTCTAGAGGCTAGAATCTGAAATCAAGGTGTTGGCAGGGCCGTGCCTCCTCTGAAATCTCTTTGGAAGAACCCTTCCTTGCCTCTTCCTAGCTTCTCGTGGCTCTGATAATCCTCAGCGGTCTTTGGCTCAGAGTTGTATCACTTCAGTCTGCCTCCACTGTGGCCTGTCCTTCTTTGCTCTTGTGTGTCTCTGTGTATCCTCTCCTCTTCTTATGAGGACACCAGTCATTGGATTTAGGGCCCACTCTAAACCAGTGTGACCTCGTCTTAATCTGATTGCATCTGCAAAGACCATATTCCCAAATAAGGTGACATTCACAGGTACTAGGGGTTAGGATTTGGACCTATCTTTTGGGGGACAAAATTCAACCCACTATGCCTGATTTCTTCTAGATTATCTGGAGACCATTTTAAGATTCATGGTCTGAAAGCTTATGACTGAATTTCAGATACAGAATTCTAGATATATTCTGTCATCTTTCTTTTGAGGTGAAGAGCCATGGGAATGGGATAATTTGGAGTCTGATTAAGGTTTTATAGTCCTTGTTTTTTTTTGCCAGGAGATTCACAGATTAAGCGTTTGATACCTGGGAGATGGCTACTCTTACTGTCAACCTATTGGTCCAGATTTAGTACTCCTGGGAGTTTAGAGAGTTATTAGGATTTTTGTAGTACTTTTTAATGATGTCTGATGTAAATTGGTATTGATTTCTTCTTTTTAAGTTATAAAGATGCTTCAGGGTGCAAAGAATTTGTTGAAAGAGGAAAAATTGGTACACAGCTATCCTTATGACTGGAGGACCAAGAAACCAGTGGTTATTCGTGCCAGCAAGCAGTGGTTTGTAAAGCTCACGGATCTTAAGACTATAGCCAAGGTATAAAAGGCATCCTACTATAAGGGTTGGGTTTATCACTCCCTCAGTATGAAAGGGTTGTGTGTGAGGTTCGGGTGGGGTTTGGGAAGTGGAAGGGATTGCTGCTATTATGATTTGGTTTCATAAAAATGTAGAATTTTAGATCTGGAAGGACCTTGGGTTTCATTCCTTCATTATACACATGCATAAAATCAGGCTTAAAGAGGCTAAGTTCCCAAATTTCCTGCCCACTGTTGTGAAAGTAGCATAGAATTAGGGCAGAACTGAGTTTAGCAAGTTGTTTAACCTCTCAGAACCTCAGTTTCCTCATCTATATAAAGGTGATAATGCCTAGCTCATGGGATAAGTGAATAAAAGTTCCCAGAACAGTGTCTGGCACGTGACAGACGTTCAGTAAAACTCTTTTAAAACCCTTTGCTTCCTTAAGATTGAAATTGCAATCTATTTGGAAAGTCCTTGCTTTGTTTATAACTGGTGTTCTAAATATTAATATATATTTGAGCTCTTTCATTTAGTACATGTATGTATCTGTGTATCTCACGAACAACTTGATTCTGTTGAATGAAAGACCTCGACTATATGTTTGTTAATCAGCCTCAGCATACAGATATTTTGCTTTACAGCTTACATCTAACATTACTATAATTAGTTGGTTTACTTGTTGGCCCAGCAATTTGAGGCCCTTGCCAAAGCTATGCAAGCATTTATGTTTTCTATATTTGTGTAGAGTGGACAACTGTGATGTGGACTGGTTTTTGTTCTTTGTTTTTTACATTTTTATTAAGTCTATTTTCCTTTTAAATGTTAAAATTTGTAACTTCTGGCTCTGCACAGATTTTTGGTTGCAGAACGTCGAAGTCTGATGTAATATGCTAAAGCCAAATGTTTTTTTTTAACTTCTTCATAGATAATTTTCAATTACTCCTTGCAGAAATAGAGAGAACAGAGTAACGTACTGCTATGTTTCCATCACCCAACTTCAACAATAATCAACTTTTTGCCAATTTTATTTTTATCTACCCCCTGACCCGTTATCGACACTTCCTACCCTTTGGATTATTTTGAAGCAAATTTCAGGCATTATGTTTTCCATAAATATTTCAGCATGTATCTGAAAGATAAGGACTCTTTAAAACATAATTCCAGTGCCAATATTACCACCTTAAAAAAGTACCAGTTTTTCCTTAACAAAACCAAACATCCAGTTAATATTTATACTTCTTGGGTATTTAAACCATTTATTAGTCAAAATGAACTGCAGATGATGCCATCCTGCCAGCAGGTGGTGCTACAAAGAGCTTTCTGTAGTTCAGGTGAGTAAGGAAACGGTTTAAACCTGTCCTGAAAATATAAAAATGCTTTTATTACTGGTAGAGAGATTTTTTTTTTTTGGTGAGGAGGATTGGCCCTGAGCTAACATCTGTGCCAGTCTTCCTCTATTTTGTATGTGGGTCGCCACCACAGCATGGCTTGATGAGTGGTGTGTAGGTCTGCACCCACAAACCCTGGGCTGCCAAAGCGGAGCGTGGGAACTTCACCACCATGCTACCGGGCCAGCCCTGGTAGAGAGATTTTTTAAATGAAGTTAACATATTTTGGCTTTTTTGGAGATTATTATCAAACATTTTTGCTATACAATTCTTTTGATAATTGACAAATGAAATCAAATGCTAGTAGTTTACAACTTTTTTGGGGGGTGGAGAGAGGGAGAGTTCTTGAGAGATAATAAGTAAATAGGAAGTAACTGTTATTTTGAGAAAGTGTTTTCTATGTTGTAATCCATACTATGTAAAATTAGGTTATATTGCAATCCTTGTTTGTCAACCTAAGACAGTAGCTTATTTTTTAAGCATTTAAAAAAAATTGTTAAAATCAAGTTTGAATTGATTTTAACTGTAGTTTAATGAAGTATAGTATTTCTACTAAATCTGTTATTACTAGTTTTGATCTAGGGTGCTTGGAAATTAGTATAAAATCTCTTGTCACATCCTCCAAAGGTGAAGTCTGTGCACGATGTTATTTATGAGATATTTTGTGGCCCCGTTTTAACTTTGCCTTATTTGCTCTGAAATCTGTAGTTTTTTAGTTTAGTTTCTTTTTGAGGGGGGCATGTGAATGACTATAAACATCCAAAGTCAAGAGCTGTGTTAGGATAAATAGTGACAGTTCTAGAAAATTTGTTCTGCTTTCTCTCATTGGACTTGATTTTTGAATCAATTGCAGGAATTATTAAAAAAAGTGAAATTTATTCCTGGAGCAGCACTGAATGGCATGGTCGAAATGATGGACAGGAGGCCATATTGGTGTATATCAAGACAAAGAGTTTGGGGTGTTCCAATTCCCGTGTTTCATCATAAGACAAAAGATGAATTCTTGATTAACAGGTAGAACTCTTTCTAAAATTTTTGAACATTTTAGAGTGAGTGTATTTTCTTCAAAAATAGAAAAATAGTGGACTATTAAGAACTCTTGATATGTGTTAAATAAAATACTGTAAAATAATTTTTGCGGGGGAATAAAATATAAATTTCAGAAAGATCCTTTCATATGATTGAAATTTTAACAAAAACTAGATTTATTCAATATTGATACTAAGAAGGAAAGGCTCTCATTTTTTCTATGAGACTTCATTGTTCCTGTGTGTCCAGTGTTGTGCTGGAGTAAGGTGTCTGGAATCCAGAGATGAACAGTGTTTAGTAGCAGAGCCTCGTATGTGATTGGTGTCACTCTCTTCCTCTAAGTCTGCTCTCCCTTTCAGTAGAAATGGCATCATGTAGTAGTGTAGGTACTTTAAAATTCAGGAAGCTAATATAGCTGAATGCACATAATTAAAGTTATTCTAGTGATGATTACATTCCCAGTTATTTCTTCTTTTTTTTCCTTAAGTTTTTCTTAAAATTTGGAAAGATAACACATGGACCTCGTGAACAATTCACAATAGAAAAGCCTGTAAAGTGAAAAGAAGATTTTTTTCAGATCATACACTAGACCCTTTTTTAAGGCAGTAAACAAGACTGACTTGGTACCTTCTCTTAATGAGATGATAATCTAGCTAGTTTATCTTCTAGTAAATTAGGGAGGCTTTCAGTATTATTGCTGATGTGGAAAGGGGGGTGTTAATCATTCCTTTTAGGAATGCATCCTAGGTTTTCATTTTCTTTGAGTAATTTTGTTAATGGAATTTTTACTAAGTTATGCCATAACATGAGCAGAGAGTTTGAGCACATTTTGGTAAGTATTTCCATGTTTCATCAGTTGGGGATCCAGTGAGGTTTTTGAGGGCATGGAGGCCAGAGTGTAATGGCGAGTTCAAGAGACTGTAGACAGAGTTGAATGTCCCTACCTTGCGGTTTCTCATCATTTTTGTAAAAAGGTTCTACTTTTCGTTGTCAGCATTATCAGTATTTCTTTAGGTGGTACTTTATGAATACATGTATTTTAGGGTTTTTTTAATGTCAATTGAAGTGGTTTTTTTTTTTAATCACCTGTAGCCGTGTATTAGGTAGTTCTTAGTATGCTGTATGTGACGGTTCCTTTTCAATTTGAAATACTGTTTATTATATCACTACTTCATGGATGACTGGACACCTTATGGCAACATGGCTCAGAGGGAAGAACTAAAAGCTCTGCCTTTGGCAAATATTGAACCATAAAACAGCTCATTTGCTTCATTCGTAGAGGATGTGGCATTTAGGGCCTGGAGGATTAGGTAGGAAATGGGGGAAAGTATTTTGCAAGTAGAGGGATCAGCAGGAGCTGAGGACCTGAAGGGGGAAAAGTATAACGTGTACAGGAACTATAATGAGACTGTGGGGTGTGGAAGGGGACTAGAAAGGTAAACTAAGGAAGATTGGTTGGGGCAAATTGTAGTGAGTCTTGAATACCAGGCTACGGAGTTTAAAGTTTTAAGTAGGCATGAGGAGTAAGAGTATGTTTTAGGAAAAGAAACTAGAGGCTAGAGACCAGGAAGTCATTGTAAGTCTATTGTAATATTATTACAATTTGGAGCTGAGAAAGATGCTTTGGCCTAAATATTGTTACTTATGTTGTTCTTATAATTTAGAGCTTGGTCAGATATAAATTGCTAATATCTTAATACACCTATTAAAAATTCAATTTGAGATAAATCTACACAAGTATTGTTTAAAATTCCAAACCGGAAAGTTTTCTTTTAAGGAAACATTTATAAGACACTGCCTCATTCTTTTCAGTATTTAAAGAAAAAGATTTTTAGGGAATGTCTTTCAAGTGATTTGTATATATCATTTGATCATTTGATCAAGTGATTTCAAGTGATTTGTATATATTAGTAAGTAGAGCAAACTGGTTTATTTGACCATTAGTTAATCACAACAGTATAATGGTACGTAGGTCAATTGGTGAGTAACCTAGGTGAAATAAATGTGAGCTGTCAGAAAAACACAAGCAAATTTTCATTAAGTATCATTTATGTTTTATTTACAGTCAATACATTTACATGGTTGTGTTACAGATTCTTTTCTGTGCGTCTACCATTGTGTTACTTGCATGTATTAGTTGATTTCTGATTTTGAAGTAGCAGAGATATACAGAATATTGGCCTACAGAAATGACAGACAAACTTAGCTATATTGTCTGTCAATTCATAGGTCATTTTCCTGTACATCATTTCTTAATGATGACTCTAATCCTCTTCCATTGTTGGGTCCTTTTTGTGATGTAATATTTGATTTAAGAAAACAGATGTCAATTCTTAAGTATTTGTCAGTTTTTAAAGATAGCATGAGAAGTTATCTTTTTTCCTCCTTAATCAAATGAGAATCAACTACCATGATTTTCTGTGTTTCTTGGGTATGCCTTTATATTGTAGTGAGTTGGTAACCATCAAAAGTAACAGCATCTCCACTGGAAATTGGTACACAGTCCACATGGAGTTGCTGTTACACTTGATAACCCCGTTAAACATATCAGAAGATTCCTCCTGCTTTTCTTGATGAAAGTCTGTAAATTATCTTTTAAGTATGCTTTTTTCACAGAAGAAAATTTTGGTTAATTGATATTCTAAATAAGTTTAGAGTCTGGTAGATTTGAAACTCTGATGCTTAATTTTGATTTGAGTTAATGTTCTCACTTATACGTTATATTCATATTTGTATTTTCTCAAGAAATAATTCCATTTCTGACTCTAACAGTCGATCATTTTTCTGAATCTGTAATATAATGCCATTATAATTTAGGTGGACATCTATTCCTGGGTAATAAAGACAAACACTTTTTAGCATAAAAAAGATAAAATTTAGAAACATCTGCAGGGGCCTGGCTGGTGGTGTAGTGGTTAAGTTTGCACGCTCTGCTGCGGTGGCCTGGTGTTCACAGGTTTGAATCCCAGGGGCAGACCTACGCACCACTCATCAAGCCATGCTGTGGCGGCATCCCACATACAAAATAGAGGAGGATGAGCATGGATGTTAGCTCAGGGCCAATCTTCCTCACCAAAAAAACCCAAAAAATTTAGAAGCGTTTGCTACCTAGGAAGGAAAAGAAGTTGTTAGTTAAATTTCTTTCATCATTTCAGATGATTGTAATCAACTTAATAGTATTAATACAATAGTTAACATATGCATTTAGGAAACGGCCCCTGATTTCTGGAAATAATGAGAAATTCACTAGAAATAGGTAAAGAATTTCCAGTTTAATTTGATTGTTAGCTTTACCTACCTCAAACTTTTGCTCATGTTAATAATAATGACCTTTTGGTGAAAAAATTTGGACATGTTCATTAAATAACAAAAAATTTTTCCAAAATTGTTTTCTGTCACCTTTAAAACATAAATGTAGGATTAAATTAAAAATAGAATTCCCCCCCAAAATTTCATTGTGTTCTAGAATTAAACTTAGTAAATAAATATGAAACATTTAGCCTCTTACCTCATTCTTTTTCCAGTAACTTGCAGAAGAAAAGTTGTCTTATAGTCCTTAATAGTTTTGTCTTTATAAAGACGAGACGCAGGAAACAGTGGAATGACAGCGACACTTGCTTCATCACCTAGTAATCGTAATGCAGCTTCATTTCCAGTAACTTGCTAAATAAGCCTTCAGCCCAGCTGATATGGAAGTTCAGAATGATTGGTTGGTGTTACCGTTGCTCATACCACCTAGTGGGTTTGCACAGATTGGAACCTAAGAAGGGACACGTAATGCATGTGTTCAGATAAGGCCCTTGTGTAAGGTACAAAGTTTTATGACAGACTTATTGCTTTATGAAATACAGCAGTAAAATGGAAGCATAGAGATTATGTAGCGATAAGTGGTTTCACCCACTTTTATCAACAGTAACTTATACTGATCTTTAGGTTATAAGTTAACTATATATTTGTGCTCAGTATAGGATATTAACAAAGTAAAGGGGAGAATTCTTAAATTTCCAAAGACAAATTTTGACTTTCTTGTATTTAATATCATTAAGAAATGCCTATAAAATTGTTTTAAAAACTTTTTAAAGCGATTTCAGTTTCCTTATAAAAAATTACACTTCTAAGTATTTATCCTAAGGAAACGATGGCTAACGTCTCTTGTACAAAGATATATATGTAAGGATGTCTGAGTTGTTTGTAAAGGAATATAATGATGTAAAAAAGAAGAGATAATTTAAGTCACTTTTGGAAGAGTGAATATGCAGCCATTAAAAATGGTAGCTTAGCTTCTAACGGCTGCCTAGTTCCCTGTGTGTGAAAGTCAAATAGATGTGGCCCATCCCAACGTTTGGCTGTTTCTGAGTTTTCACTATAGCACTGTACTGAGTATCCTTAAGCACTTGTGCAGCATTTATTTGGGTTTTTTTATCCAAATTATCTTTTCAGATTTTGTTTGAATGTTAAATTTGTCTTTGTTTTGGGACTAGCCCGGTGGTGTAGTGGTTAAGTGCGCGCGCTCGCTTCAGTGGCCCGGGGCTCGCAGGTTCGGATCCCAGGCGCACACAGACGCACTGCTTGTCAAGCCATGCTCTGGCGGCGTCCCACATAAAGTAGAGGAAGATGGGCATGGATGTTAGCCTAGGGCCAATCTTCCTCAGCAAAAACAGGAGGATTGGCATCGGATGTTAGCTCAGGGCTGATCTTCCTCACACACAGAAAAGAAAAAAAAAATTTGTCTTTGTTTTGCAACCCAATTTGGTTACCTCAAGTTTGTAGGTTGTATGTGTATGTTTATTTTTATTGAAAATTTTGTTTTTAAAACTCTGCCACAATTTTTTAGGATCATTCAGACCACCAGAGTACAAGTCAGGAGCAAGTTTTCACTTGGTGATACCAATTCTGTGTACTTAAATTTTGATTTGTTTGGATTGTAAGAATGTTTTTGTCTTTGAAGTCTGCATTCTTGTTTATCATACCTTTTGTTCAGTTTTTATCCTCTAACTCCAGAGTTCTCTTTAGTTTATTTTCCTGTCTTTAAAAACATAAGTAATAGAGTTGTCTAAGATCTCAAAATAGAACTGAGCAACAGAATATAAGCCTTATTAAAGTACATTTAGTGCATGATGTTTTTATTTCATGATATAAAGTAAGGAAGCAAGTCTTGCTCTAAGTATTAGTGAGACTTGCTCTATTAATGAGGGGGGTCTTCTTTTCTCCCCTCTTCACAATGGTTCATGTTTCTTTTGGATATGTGGAGAAAATTTTTCTTTCGTCTAGATTCGTCTGCATATGTTAGGAGGGACCCAAAAATATTGAGTCATTTTCTTAGTAGCGTGTAGTTTTACTTACGACAGCTTTTTTGAAATTAGATTTTTAAAAATTACTACTGTAGGATTATTTTCATTGGTGTAGATAACGTTATGTGGTTATGTCATTTTTAATAAATATTATTAGGTAAACTAAAAGAAAAATGAAACTAAACAAATTTTAAGAGTTTAAAAAAAGGATATTTGCAAATAAGGTATGTATAAAATGCAAGATTAAATTTCTTATATTGAAACATATTGTATATCTAAGTGAATTATTAGTATCTTTATAAGAAAATGTAGCAATTAAAACTTCAATTTTAGTTAGACCAGAGGTGGTTGACTAAACTTGGTGGGATTTTACAGTTGCCCTAATAACATGCCAGCTGCAAAATTGGAATCCTTCTTTGCTGTTTGGTATTAGACTAGTTAGTTATAGGCTCAGTAAGATACTTGAGCATAGTTAAGTAACACTTAAAATATAATTCTAAAACTTCATTGAATTATCTGCTACTTACGGATATAAAAAAGAACTTAGAGCTGTTATAGTTGAATTTGGCACTCTAAAACGGATCTGTGGGGCCGGCCTGTGGCGCAAGCGGTTAAGTGCGCGCACTCCGCTACGGCGGCCTGGGGGTCGCCGGTTCGGATCCTGGGCGCGCACCAGCGCACCGCTTGTTAAGCCATGCTGTGGCGGCGTCCCCTATAAAGTAGAGGAGGATGGGCACGGATGTTAGCCCAGGGCCAGTCTTCCTCAGCAAAAAAGAGGGGGATTGGCATCAGATGTTAGCTCAGGGCTGGTCTTCCTCTCACACACACACAGAAAAAGGATCTGTAAGTATCATCTATAGTTGTAAGGTTACTGACTGAAATATTAGGACTTTTTCTTTTTATAAGTATAAAATTTTTCACATAGCCTTCTTTCTCACAGCTTTTGCCAGTGTTCATAGAAGTTGAATCTCAGAAAGATAATATGATGTATTCCTGTCAGTATCTAATAAGCTGCATGTAGAACCTGGTCTTTGGACCTGGTGCTTGCTCTGTCAACACGCTAATCTCCTGAGACGCCCTGGTGCCTGACTTCATGTCTGGCTCCTGGTTTCATTATGCGTGGGTCATGAGAGTCTTTTTGCCTTTGCTTAGCAAACCCTGGAGAATAGGAGTGTGAGTTCACGGTTACAGTGGTTGTCTTGTTGGATGAGTTAGAGAGGCTGAATGGAGAAGTGAGAACAGAGTTGAACCGTGATTTAGAAGACACACTTTCAAGGCCTGGCTTTTAACTGTGTTACTTGCTTAGGCTCATGATTTAAGGAACCTGAGGCACAGAATAGTTTATCTGTCAGTTTAGCTACTGAATATGTTTTTCTGTGAATCCAATTAGAATGCTTTGAAATCTATAATGTGTGATATACACATAAATGCTTTTATTTTGATTAATGATAATATTAATCCTAACATCTCTATGTTATGTTCTAAATTAGTATGAAATTTTACTTCAGTATTATTTTGTATCTATTTATTTCCAATACATTTAACGTAGTTTTACTATTTACCTAAAATTACGATCTATTGTAAAAATAAAAAGGCAAAATGACACTCATATTTAGAATCATTCTTTTTTATGAAAATTTCATAATTGGTATGAACAGAATATTTACTATAATTGTTTATGTGTAAATGCACTTTGCTAGTATTGCTCTTTTTTTTGGTTCTTTTAGAGTAATAGCTTTAGGTTTATTCAGATTTTCTATTCTAGTATATTCAATTTTCTTAACTGATAAAATGTTCTGTGCAAATTATATAAAATAGTAATATGTAACTAAATATTGTCATATAACTAGGTAGTTATTGCACAAAGTTTTTATGGTCTCATATTGTAAAAGTTTATTTTTACTGTTAAAGTCCATCTAAAATGCGTGACTGCATTAGCATTATGGACTTGTGCCCATTTTAACATTCTGTTTCTTTATAATTTCTTCAAAATAGATGCTGGTAACATTATGCTTTTTCAGTCTTTCCTTTATTGTATGACCAACTTAAGTATTTCAAATTTTAATTTGTAAAGCATGTTTAATTTATAATACCCATTTGATTTTTGCTGCCCACAACAATTTTTTCTAAACACTTCATTTTATCTGTGAATTATCAGACCTAGAGAGGTTAAATGATTTGCCATCAGTAGTCATGATCAATAAGAAGCGGATCCAGATTAAGAACTTAAAGCTTTTTCCTGTCCACTGCTCTTTCCGTCTACTCTTGTGGACCCATATTCTTAGTGATTTGCATTAATGAAGTATGGTAGAAAGGAGGATAATTCAAAAGTTGGCTTTAGTATGTGTATTTTAATCTTTAAATATTAATATGAGTATGTATTTTGGTAATTGGTTAACAAAATTGACTGGCTAAATTTACCTGACTTTAAAGAATCAGTTTAAATAATAGTTAATGCTTGCCTAACACTTACATGTGCCAGACATTGTTCTAGGCATTTTATATATAAGCTCTGTTAATATCCATAATAGCTCTGGTAATGATGCCGTTCTTATTTGCGTTTTGCACACCGAGGTACAGAAATGCCAAGTGCTTTGCCCAGGGTCGCCTAGCTTGTAAGCGGTAGAGCTGGGAATTAAATCAGAGCTCTCTGGCTCCAGGGTCCGGGCTCTTGACCCTGATGTACACTGTGACTCAACGGAAGGCAACTACAGGAGGCTGTAACGTCAATAAAGCTGTGATAATAAATGAAAAGTAGGTTATTCCTGTGAGAAAATTTAATATAAATTTTTCCCTGAGTTTAATTTTTAAATAATTTATAACTGTGTATCTTCCCAAAGAAATGGTCAATTTCAGTATTCATTTGACATGCATTTATTGGTTTCTGTTGTGTGATAGGCACTGTGCTAAGTTTTACGTGGATCATCTCATTTAGTTTGCAGTGAGGGGAGTATGTAGGATCACTAAAATGTAAGTTCTATTAGGTCAGGAATCTTGTCTGCCTTGTTAACTGCTCTATCTCCAGTGCCTAGAACAGTGTCCAAGACTTTGAAGGTGCTCAATAAGTATTTCTTTTTTTAAAAAATTTTTTGTTTATTGCAGTTACATTGGTTTATAACATTGTAAAAATTTCAGGTATATATCATTATACTTCTATTTCTGCATAGATTACATCATGTTCACCACCAAAATACTAATTACAACCCATCACCACACACATGTACCGAATTATCCCTTTCACCCTCCTCCCTCCCCCCCTTCCCCTCTGGTAACCACCAATCCAATCTCTGTCCCTATGTGTTTGTTTATTGTTATTATTATCTACTACTTAATGAAGGAAATCATACGGTATTTGATCTTCTCCCTCTGACTTATTTCACTTTGCATTATACCCTCAATGTCCATCCAAGTTGTCACGAATGGCTGGATTTCATCATTTCTTATGGCTGAGTAGTATTCCATTGTGTATATATACCACATCTTCTTTATCCATTCGTCCCTTGATGGGCACTTAGGTTGCTTCCAAGTCTTGGCTATTGTGAATAACGCTGCAATGAACACAGGGGTGCATGTACCTTTACACATTGGTGTTTTCAAGTTCTTTGGATAAATACCCAACAGTGGAATAGCTGGATCATATGGTAGTTCTATCGTTGATTTTTTGAGGAATCTCCATACTGTTTTCCATAGTGGCTGCAGCAGTTTGCACTCCCACCAGCAGTGTATGAGAGTTCCCTTCTCTCCACATCCTCTCCAACACATGTTGTTTCCTGTCTTGTTAATTATAGCCATTCTGACGGGCGTGAGGTGATATCTCATTGTAGTTTTGATTTGCATTCAATAAATATTTCTGAATAAGTGAATTCTGTTATTCTCCTTAGCAGAGGGGACAACCAAGACTTTGAGAAGTTGTAGTACTTGTGCATGGTCATGTGTATAAAAAGTGGCAGAGTCAGGATATAAGCCTGGATATCTGTTGTCAACGTCTGGCCTCTAGTATGGCCTTGTGTCTTGTGCAGATGGATTTGGACTTAGTCCTGTAAGCAGTGAGGAGGGCCCTGGAAGTATTTGAGAGGGGGCTGGTATGATAAAAGCCGTTTTAGGAATGCAACGCTCTCAAAGATGGGTTGTGTCAATTAAAGAGATGAGAAGAGGGGAAAGTCAGACCACTGCATCAATCTAGTATTGTGGCAGTGAGGTGACTGATATAATATCAGTGAGACAAAGAACAAATCTGAGTAATACTTCAAAAGTAGGGACCTGGCAGAACATGTTGGTTTAATTTGGGCAGAAATTGGAGGGGGGGACATAATTAGGAGGTTGTGAATATAGGACCTGGATAGAAAATAGATTGATAGAAATAGGGAAACCAGTAATTGAAATAGGGATATCAGAAGTCTTTTTTTTTTTTCTTTTTCTTTTTCTTTTAAGGGATACATATGATCAGTTTGATATTGAATTTAAGATGACAGCAGCAGCCAAGTAAGCATGTAATTGAAGATAATACCACTAAAGTTTGGGGAAAAAGATAGGAAAAAAATATCCTGCAGATAGGGAAAAATATCACTATTTCTTAATTTTAAAATGTCCAGTATTAGTCACAATAGTTTAATTGAACAGTTCTGCCTTGTCCCCCCTAAAATAGCCAAACCATCGAGCATATTGTGAAACTAGTGGAACAACATGGCAGCGATGTCTGGTGGACTCTTCCCCCTGAGCAGCTTCTTCCAAAAGAAGTCTTATCTGAGGTACGTTTCTGTCTGTATTTAACAGCCTTTGGTGTGTTGCATGACTGAGTGACAACATGAGGATTCTTGGGCGTTAAAAAGTAGTTACATTATCGTGTCAAGTTAATGAGTTTATTATAAATTAGGAACTGGTGCAGTTTGAGAGTAGATATTTTTCTTTAGCTATAGAAGCTTGGTGTTTAATACAGCAGTAGAGCATGAGGGTTATTTGTTATTTCATTGAGGGCCAAGAGTTTAACTGATTTCGTTGACTGAGTAAATGTAACTGTGCCTGTGAGAGAACAGTGCCTAACATTGGTACATCAGAACTTTGTGGGGTCTGAATCAGAGTTAACTGACTGCATCACACACCAAGAAAGCCAAATTGGAAGATAATTTCAAGAAAATAAGAACAATTTGTATTTACCTTAATAAGTGTGTAATTAAGTGGCCACAGTCACTTTTACATGCAAATGAGTCAGTTGTACTTAATTGTGAAATATTTGTGTGTTTTAAATTTTATTTTAAAATGTGAATTTAATGGTCATATTTCATTTTCTTAAGACTTTTTGGGGCATTTATTATAAATACTGTGGTCTTAGCATAATTAAAATGCTTTTACATTATCTTACTAGGTTGGTGGTCCTGATGCCTTGGAATATGTGCCAGGGCAGGATATTTTGGACATCTGGTTTGATAGTGGAACTTCATGGTCTTATGTTCTTCCAGGTAATTTTAAATAATAGGTTACATACGAATCAAGCAGTTTTGAAAATACATAAATGTTACTTAGAAGAAATCTATAATCAAGAACTTTTTTTTGTTTTTTGCTTTATTTAGAAGACAATCTCCTGCTCTAATATATTTTAGATCTGGAAGGAGCCTCGGAGATCATTTAATCCAATGATTTCTATGTAGAAATTTTATGTAGAACCACAATACATAAGATAGATAAAAATGGGAATTTTCTCCTTCCTCTCAATCAGCTCATTCTCCTTGGTCCACTTGGCAACCTCAAGGCACCCAGTTCTGTAAAACAAAGTTTGGAAATCACTGAAATGGTCTGACCCCATCATTTTTCAGGAGAGGAAATAAGATTGAGTTAGAGGCAAATTAGGTGATGGTCACATAGCTTAGTTAGTGTCAGACTAGAACGAGGACACCCTGGGTTGTGGGTCTCATTCTTCTGTACCACATTGCCTTTTCATGGCTTTCCCCCTCTCTGTACAGACAACCCACTAATCTTATACCCACTCATAGTTAGGGTAAGCTTTTGACTTGTTGGCTAAAGAGAAAGGAGAGATTGGGCAGGAATTAAGGCGGGAGTAGTAGGAGAAGGCACACGTTAGAAGATGTGTTTAGATGCTTGAGAAGAAATATCCTCAGGGATATTAAGTGAAAAGTCAGAGATAAAATGAAGAATACAGCTTGTCATCCCTATGCAGATAAAGACAGGGATGAGGTGGCAGGGAAGCAAGGATAGATCAGATAGTTCCTCGCATTGCTGCTAAGTGCCGACTTTGCCCCCAAGAGATCCTCTTTGCTTTCTGGAGCAAGGGAATGTGGGAAAATAGCTTGTCTGTGCAGCTGGCGGTTGTTAAAGGGATTGGAAAGGATTGTCCTCAAGTTTTCCTCGAGGTATGCTTCTGATACTGGGCCTCATTATTGAGAGGACAGTAGTATGATTCCTAGTAGGTAAATATATCCCTTCATTTGGGCTTTTCTTTCAGCTTAGGAAATTTGAAAAGCAAAATGCATGTCAATTTATGTTTATATTACAGCTAAAATGTACATAATAGTTCATAATGGCCAAATACAAGTTACATATTTAAAAAATTTTTACAATTTTTTTATTTCATAAGTTTCTCCTACTGGATGTAAGAGAAAATATTGCAAGTGTTAAGTACTTTGTTTTCCTAAATTCTATTGAAAATGTAGACACATAACACTACGTGAGGTAGGTAGGCTAAGTAGTGTTATAGTAGAAACAGGAAGAAGAGTAACCTACTGCCACATTTGGGGCAACATCCTGAATTTCAAATGAGTAGCCATATGCAAAACAGTGCTTATGCAGTATATTTCTAAGTTCATTAAGGACTTCGGCCTTGGTGAGAATTGCTGCTGAGCATTTTTACCAAGAATGCTCACCAATTCTTAGCAATTCTGTCCTGGCACTGTTGCTTTTTACTTTCTGAAGTGGTTTTACATTGCTAAGTACAGCAAGTGCAAGTTATAGATGGAGCCTTCACCTGGGTTAAACTACATGCAGACTGTCCTCACAACCTCTCTCTGCTGCTGTCATTGTTGTGATAGAGTTTGGTCGTGCTGTTTCTAGTTTGTGATGTTCTTAACCAAATATTTGACTGTGACAGAAGCACTTTATTAAATGAAATTAGTGGTAAAAATGCACCTAATCAGTAAATTTTTTTTTCTTCCCTGTCATATTTAGGTAGCTAATGCAAAGAAAGAACATTAATTTGTCATTTAAACATGTATGTTGCGTACATAGGACGCTGCCAGAACATAAGTAAACTACCCTCACCGATAACATACAAACCCAGTTTTAGACTGTAGTTTCTACTTTTTCACTCAGATCTCATATTTCTCTTCAAAAAATAAGTAAATAAATAAATAAAAATGAGATTCATCAATAAGAATTAGATTAGTTGGCTTATGTTTTGTCCTGTTTTCCTCCCTTTTATTCTTTTGTGATAAGAAATTTCAAAAGATGAGCAGAAAGAATGAAGTGGGAAGGAGTCAAGATACTAGGTGAATTCATAGTTTGAAAAGCGATAAAGCAAAGGTGATTTGCCTTTTTTAAAAAAAACAAAAAACGAGAAGTCACATACTTTCCTGAGAAGGCTTATTGTGCTTTTCCTTCTCAAGTGGTTTGTGTCAAATGACTCAATGTCTGTGTATTTCCCTGAGAGTACATTATTGCAAGATAAAAACAGCTTGATTTTGAGCTTAATTTTACCATCAGTTGTCATCAGTATCTACTAATGTTTAGCGAGATGAATTTGGTGACTATATAGCCATATATAACTGGTTTTACTTGTCACTGAGCAGTTTTAGGTTCACAGTAAAATTAAAAGGAAAGTACAGTGATCCCATACCCCCTGCCTCCCCTCCCTTAGAAGCTCCCTCGCTATCAGCATCCCACACCATGGTGGTACATTTGTTACAGTCCATAAATCTACACTGACACAATGTTATCACCCAGAGTCCCTCGTTTACGTTTACGTTACAGTTCACTCTTGGTGGTGTACATTCTGTGGGTTTTGACAAATGTATAATGACATGTAACCCACTGTTAGAGTATCACACAGAGTGATTTTACGGCCCTAAAAATCATCTGCTCCATCTATTCATCCCTTCTTCCCTGTTAACCCCTGGCAACCACTGATCTTTTTACTGTCTCCATAGTTTTGCCCTTTCCAGAATGTCATGTGGTTGGAATCATGCAGTATGTAGCCTTTTCAGATGGGCTTCTTTTACTAATAATATGCATCCAAGGTTTCTCCTTATCTTTTCCTAGGTTGATAGCTCCTTTCTTTTTAGTCTTGAATAATATTTCATAGTCTGGGTGTGCTACAGTTTATTTATCCATTCACCTACTGAAGTAATTAGTGTTTCAAAGTTCTTACTCTACTTCATTTCTTTTTTTTTTTAACAGAGAAATAACTTGAAGTAAATAGAGAAAAGATCATTTTTTTAAATGGAAACTTAGATTTACAAATAACTTTTTTTAAAAAGTTTTAAAGGTTTAAAAGTTTTTTAAAGACCTTTTTCAAGGTCACCCTTTTAAAGACATATATAATACTGCTTTAAAAATAGCCTAATTTCAAAAATTAATAATTACATTTTCGCATATTTTTAGTCATTATTTCTGGTTTAAATGATTTTCAAATGCTACATAGATTAAGCAGTTTTTAAAAATGCGTTTGTGCTGGTTCTACAACTTGCCCTCTTAGTTAAATACAGTAATCTTGCTCAAAATTTATCAAGTCAGCTAAGTTAAAGAAATTGAGTAATGAAATGACAGATTCCTCAGCTTTTTCTTTCTGATTTCTGTCTGACAGGAATTTTTTTATCGTTGATTTATTCCTTAATTACTGCCGTATTTAAATCATAATCTTAGAGGTGCTGAACAGTTTACTGTTCCCTCTAAACGTTAATCTTTATAATTTTCCTAAGAGTAAAAGTTACCATAATTGAAATACTAACTTTTTACCACATGGTTAATTGCTACTTTTCCTGGAGTTTTAAAACTCCAAACTTACTACTGCCTCCATAAGAAAGTTCTAAATTTTTCTTTTACTAAAAGATCTATTCAGGAAAGAAAAAGGATAAAAGATAAAAAATAGGCAGAAAAAAATTGGCACCATTCCTCCCTCTTGTACACTGCTGGTCGAATGTAATTTGGCACAAATTTATTGGAAAGGATTTTAGCATTATGCATCAAAAGCTTTGAAGTAGTTGTCTGTCCTTTGACCTCGTAATTCTACTTACAGGAATCTCTCCTGTAAAAAGAATCAGATCTGGGTGAAGAAGTATGTGTGAGGATATGCAGTGTTATTTCTAATAGTAAATGATTTGACCCAATAACCCAGTGTCCATCTGTAGAAAAATGACTAAAGCGATATGATATACATTCATATGACAGAATGATAGGTAGCCTTCATCATGTTTTTGAAGAATATTTGTGGGCATAGGGAAGTATCATTTTAAATGATACTAAATTTTAAAAAGTGCAGAATACAAAAAAGAGCAGGATGCAGATAAATTATCTTGATTTGCTCACAAATTCATGCATATCGTTGATATGCATAGACAAAATAGTGGAAGGAAATATGGTAAAATAAAGTGATTATCTCTAGGTAGTGGGAATATATGTGATTTTATTTTCTTGAACTTCTCACTGTTTTACAAATTTCTTAAAGTGAGAATGTACTTTTGGTGTTACAAAAAAATAATCATTACTAAAAATAAACTTACTAAGACAGGAAATAGTCCCAGTAATTAATTATGTGAGGTTGTACAGTAATTCTACAGTAACAGCACTTGAGTTTGACTATGCTTCGTATTTCTTACCATCCAAGACTAAACTTCTCGTGTTTGTTTTGAAAGTTCCTGCAAGTTTTACTTTTTCATTGCTTGTTCAGAGCTTTGCTACCCCAAAACTTCCCTCTCCATCTTTTTTGGCTGGTTTCACACACCGTCTTGGAAGGCTCTTGCTTGCAGAAATTTTCTGGGACTATACTTCCTTTTCTGGGATGATATTTTGCTTCTTACCCACTTCCAGCAATTCAGTATATATGAGAATGTGAAAGACAGGGAAACTTCACTCTTAATAAGTATTAGCTGTTTTGTTGTGCTGTTATTAATGGGCTGATGTCCTCTTGTTTTATTAGGGTGTTACAACATGTATTTGTAGGGCAGCATCAGAGACCACATATTTTAAAAATAGTATAACTAATCATATTTTTGCAAGTAATCTTTTATATAAAACTGTTTGGAAAACTATACCAGGAAGAATCTTTCTTAATTCTCCATCAGGAAATATCAGAGTGCCCTTTGTGTCTTAATAATAATTAACATTTAATGAATGTTTACTATTTCCTAAGTGTTGTCCTAAGCGTGTTATATTATTTATTTAATCTCTGTAACAACCTTATAATTTTGGTGCTATCATTATTTTAGTGAAGAAGAAATGGAAGCATGGAAAGGTTAAGCTAAGGCCCCACAGCTAGTGAGTGCACAGCCAGGATTTGGACCCGGGCGCTCTGAATCTAGCCCCTGTACAGTCCTCAGATTGCTTCTATTCTGACTACTCTAAGTCCTTAGGCAACAGCCAGCTTTCTTAAAATTAAAAATTTTAGAGCTGGCAAAGATTTTAGAGATTATTTAAACCCCTTGTATCTTAGGTGTGTTATTCAAGGCTTGGTAGCAATGATTTCTCCAAGATGACAGAACCTTAGTTTGATTCTGTGATTATGGACTGTCAGTGGTCATTTCACGAGGCCAGAAGTAGGCATGTTTCAAAGAGATGAAAAGGGTTTGGGGATAATTTGTGCTATTTCATTATCTACTTTATCTGCATTATCTACAGGAATAGATTTCCACTAGTATTCTATTATTAATCATCTCGTTGATTATTGCTATATCCAAAATGTGGTCACCAGTATGAAGTTAATGTTTTGGGTGGGGGGGGTTTGAGTGCTGGCATTATAAAGGTTTCAATGGTTACAGGTCAGTAGAGGAAGAAGAAAAGTAGGATATAGATGGAGCATTCCAGATGTTGAGGCTAAAACATGTTGTTCTCACTGCATATGCATTTATCTTTTTATATTATCTTAGACTTTCCTCACTGCATGGACTAAGCTAAACTGTATTTTTGCTTTGACAACATGCAACACAGTTATTTCTTATTTAACATAGAATCTACCCCACTAGCTATCGTCTCTAAGAGGGCTGATACCAGATTTCTTCACCTTTTCTCCCCAGTGTCTAGCACAGTGCCTGCTAGGTAGTAAGTGCTCAGTAATGTTGGTTGAATTAAACTGGTTTTATTCAATTATTTTAATTTTGTCTCCTCACTGCCACCTAGATACTCTTTGTCACATAAGGATTACAACACTGAATCCTCAATATTAGGACATAAGGACAAATCATCATTTTACAAATGAAAGGGATTATGGGGGCTTTTTAGAGTTGTGAGGTTAGATTTAAAATCTGGAAACAATCTTCCCCAAAGACCTCATGTTTTCTTTATTTAAAAACCACTTTATTCCTAAAAGTCACAAAGTAGTATAAAGAAGTACCACATACCCTTCATCGAGATTTTCCAAAGTTAACATTTTACCACATTTGCTTTATATATTCTTTGTATATATTTATATATAAACAAATAAAACTTTTCTGTACCATTTAAGCTTAAGTTGCAGACTTGATAGTCTTATCCCTGAATATTTCAGTGTGTATTTCCTAAAAACATGGACAGTCTCTTATGTAATGAATACGAATATCAAAATCAGGAAGTTGACACTGATTCCATCCTATTACCTATCTACAGATCTTATTCAGTCAGTAATGTCCTTTATGGGAAAAGAAAAAAAATAAAAAGGATCCTAAATCTAATTTAGGATCACATGTCACATTTAGTTGTCAAGCTTTTTGAGTCTCCTCATTTTGTCTTTGTCTTTTGTGACCTTGACATTCGTGAGTGTACAGATTATTTTGTAGATGGTCCCTCATTTTGGGTTTGTGTGACGTATTCTGGTGATTAGATTTATATTATGGCACTTTTGGCAGGAGTATCACAGAAGTAATACTGTGTCCTTTTCAGTGCATCATATCAGAAGTCACATGATATCTGTTACTGGTGATATTTAACTTTGATCACTTGGTTAAGGTGGTGTCTGCCCATTTTCTCTATTGCACAGTTACTTCCACCCTCATCCTTCTATAGTGATTGTTATTAACAAGGGTCTTGTAGGGAGATACTTTAAGATACTCTGTTTTCTCACCAAATTTTCACTTAGTATTTAAGCACCCTTGATGAGTCTTGATGTTTGCCAAATGGTCGCTTATCTTTGATTATTAGCTCTTGAATTAACTCTTAGCTGTTGAATGCTAAAGTAGCTTTCAAGCTTGCTTACATATATGTCCTAACAAATTTGAGACTAAATTATTCATACGGCATTTTTTCTTTTGCCATATCTTTTTTTTTAACTTTATTTTTTAGAGCAGTTTTAGGTTCACAGCAAAATTAACAGGAAGGTACAGAGATTTCCCATATGTCCCCTGCCTCCCCTCCACACATGCATAGCCTCCCCCATTATCAACATCCCCCACCAGAGTGGAACATTTGTTATAGTTGATGAATCTACATTGACACATATAATCAAAGTCTATAGTTTACATTAGGGTTCCCCACTCTTGGTGTTGTACATTCTGTGGGTTTGGAGAAATGTATAATGACCTGTGTCTGTCATTAATTATAGTATCATACAGAGTATTTTCACTGCCCTAAAAATCCCCTGTGCTCTGCCATTCATCCCCTTCCCCCACTTCCCACCTCAGCCTCTGGCTCGTATGGCTTTTTAATAGTTTGCCCACCTTTTGACAGGGTCATTGTCAAATTAGAAGCCAATAATATGCCCTTTATAAGACGTTCTTTTTTTCTGATTTAATTTCTTTGTTGAGCGCATGCGTTCCTGTGCCAAAATTGTCCATCTCTGCTGCTTACTATCTGTATAACTTTGGACACGTTATAAAACCTTTAGTGTCTCACTTGCCTCATCTGTAAAATGAGGATGATAATAATTTCCATCTTATAGTTACCATGAGAATTAAATGAACTAACATGTAAAGTTATTAGGTGCTCAGTAAATGTTGAATTAATAAAAAGTGTAGTTTATTTTCATAAGAGACTTAACTGAAAATACTGATAATGATAATTGTTATGAATCGGTCCCTAATTTAGATAGTGTTTTGTTATCTGTGGTTTGGGAGATCATACTCCAAGGTTTATTTTCTTTATCTTGACTAATAAATTGGCAATGAGGGTAATAACTCAAGTAAATGCAATCTAGCCATTGGGTATAGCATGACAGAAAGAAATAGCATGATTACCTTTATTATTTGAACACTTTGATACATACTCATTCTCATTTTTCTATTGTGATTAACTTAAATTTCTGTTTTTTTAATATTTATTTTTGAGGTACTGACCAAAGAGCAGATTTGTACTTGGAAGGAAAAGACCAACTTGGGGGGTGGTTTCAGTCTTCCTTACTAACCAGTGTGGCAGCAAGGAAAAAGGCACCTTTTAAGTAAGTATTATACCCGAGCTAAACAAAGCAGCACACTGAGTACTTCTGCTGAGTATTGCCAGTGTATGAAGCACTGTGCTGAGTTATATATAGATGATAAAATGCTCCCCTTAATTAACTTACAGTCTCCAGTCTCATGAGAGAAACAGGTGTTTGAAGTAAAAAAAAAAAAAAAAAAAAGAAAGAAAGAAAGAAAGAAAAAGGAAACAACAGTACAGAGAAGTCTTGTCACTCTGATACAGATGATAACTCAGCCTTGACTGGAATAGTGGAGAGAGCTAGATCTTGAAATATGGTAAGGCTTGACACAGAGGGATGTAGACAGGGTATTCTAGCTTGATTGAAGACAGCCTGAGCTCAGATATCCTCGTATTTGTCATATCCACAAGTGGCTAATGAACTGAAACATTCCTTTAGTGAATTTTGTTAAATTAGGGATTCTTATTTAGTTGCAGATAATTGCTTTTCCTTGTTCAGATGTGTAGAGAGAAGCTCTAATCAGAAAGATTCTTATATACCTTTAAGATTCTTTCTATCTTACAGTGAAAACCCATCCCAGAACAATTTATGTGTTTATGTTTCTTGTATAACATGCTTTTAAAAGCCAGTAGAACAGTAGATGTTATTTCTCTCAAATGGTCTTTTTGAAGATAATTTTGAGGTGATAATCTGCTCTTTTTAAGACATACTTTTTCCTGCTTAGTTTTAATCATCAAAATTAGGACATAATAGATGCTCAGGAAATATTTGTTTTGTGAATATAAACGTCTAAAATTTTTCTATGTATAATTGGAGATCTTAGAGAATTAGACTTTCAAGAAAAGCTTTCATACACAATCTGTCAAGAAAAATCCCATTTTTGTGTCAAACTAAGATACTCTTTTTAATGATTATAATACCTGATTTGTCTTCTTAGGACAGTAGTTGTTCATGGATTTACCCTTGGAGAAAAGGGAGAAAAGATGTCCAAGTCTCTTGGAAATGTCATTGATCCTGATGTTGTCATCAATGGAGGACAAGTAGGTGGTTCTCTAAAAATTCATTTTATTTTTGTTTTAAGGCTCTTAAGTTGGCCACAAAGCCCTTAACGGTAGTTATTTCAATGTAAAAAACAAAACAAAACTATTTTTTATACTAATAGTGATGCCTTACCATGTTTTAAATGTAGACTCTTAAATAATACATGATTTCAATGAGAAGAGAAGGCTGGGATTGTGGCCCTTTTGACTCATTTCTAGTCTGAGTTTCTAGTTAGGTCCTGAACCATGCTTTCCCTTTTTTAATTGTTTGAGCTTTTAAAATTTGTAAACTGTAATTTTACAGTTAAATGAAACAATATAAAAACATTGAGATTACAACTTCTAAATGCATTTTTCATTATTATATTCTTGGAAATGATATACTTAAAAGCCTGTCATTAATGAACATCAATTCTGGGGTGCTGATAATGTGGTTTATTTTGGAGTTGCTTTCAGAAAAGAAATCACTTGTCTGTTATTTTACTCCTTTGGCTTTTTAGTGCCCTGCTAATGGCCAGTAGTCATTGCTCTGTGTACAGAGTTGCTAGGGAATACTGAAAGGGAAAAGCAGAGACCTCGGGGTGCTGCTCTGTGTCTCACCACCAGCTGTGAGAGATAGATGTATACAGATGTGACAGGAAGAGATCAGGTGTGGCCTGTTCGCGTTAGATTGCAGAGCACACTCTCCTCCTCTGTTCCAGTGTTGTTTATTAGATGCAGCCTAATTTCTGAGATTGTTAGCCCTTACTTCATTACACTGCAGGTAGATTTTATGCTCATATTGTGCTCAGGCATTTTTGAATAGGTAACTTACCTAAAATATATGTTGATCTAATTGGAATTGAAAGCCATTTGTATATTTCTTTCCTCGGTGCAAAGGATCAAACCAAAGAGCCTCCCTATGGTGCTGATGTCCTCCGCTGGTGGGTGGCTGAGTCCAACGTCTTCACTGAAGTGACAATTAGTCCATCTGTACTTAATGCTGCCAGAGATGATATTAGCAAGGTCAGAGTCATTATTCTTCCTATTTCTGAATGCAGATTTACTAAATCATTGTTTTAAAAAATGAGGCAGGGCCGGCCCCGTGGCTTGGTGGTTAAGTGAGCGCGCTCCGCTGCTGGCGACCCGGGTTCGGATCCCGGGCTCGCACCGACGCGCTGCTTCTCCGGCCATGCTGAGGCCACGTCCCACATACAGCAGCTAGAAGGATGTGCAGCTGTGACACACAACTATCTACTGGGGCTTTGGGGGGAAAAATAAATAAATAAAAAAAAAAAAAAATGAGGCACATTTTGTTTGACACTGCAAAACTGAATGAAAATGAATTCTCCACATGTTGTGAGCATTTAAAATATCCTGTTAATTCATTTAAAGATGTTAGTAGTGGGGGCCGGCCCTGTGTCCTAGTGGTTAAGTTTGGCACGCTCTGCTTTGTCAGCCCGGGTTCAGTTCCTGGGTGCAGACCTACACCACTCGTCAGCAGCCATGCTGTGGTGGCATCCCACGTACAAAATAGAGGAAGACTGGCACAGATGTTAGCTCAGGGATAATCTTCCTTGGAAAAAAGAATTAGTAGTAATGCTAATAATTATATACTGTCTTCTTATATTTTATTAAAATATGTAGCATAATATAATATGAAATTATACTATTTATATACTTTTTATGTGCTCAATGACCTTTCACATTTATTTCATTTATTACCTACACAGATGAACAAACTGGGCCACTGAAAGGTGATTTGCCCTGAGATTATAAAGAAATATAATGAAAATTCAGTCTTTATGTGTAAAGTCCAATGGTTGTTTCTATAACTGGGCTGTTGGAATGAGAGTTTGTTTTTTTTGCATTTGTAGTGTTATTTAGGAATGTTATCAAAGAAATATCCCATTAAGAAAGTAACATGAGTTGAATAAAACTTAATTATAGAGAAATAAAATAACTTTACAGTAAGAATTGAAGGCTTCATATGTTTTTTTTGATTGCATATTTTTTTTCAATAGCTTAGGAATACACTCCGTTTTCTTTTGGGAAATGTGGCTGGTTTCAACCCAGAAACAGATTCCATTCCTGTTAACAATATGTATATCATAGACCAGTATATGCTACACTTACTGCAGGATTTAGCAAACAAGGTAAGTGAGGATTGATAATTTTCTTTTGGAAAATAGAAGTATCAGCACTGTTGTATGTTGAAATTTGAGTTGCGTGTGAGTGGAACAAACCTTGCTAGAAATATTAACTATAGCTCTGAGAAAAGTTATACTTGATAAATTCCACACGTTCCTAGGTTGACCTTAGGTGTGAAGTCTTAGAATTTCTTTCCTAGTTTCTCAGAAGACTAGGGAAGTACCTGCTGGAAACAATAGACCCTGGCTTCCCCTCAGACTATATTTTTCTCTCAAGATCAGCTCTATGTATTTCTCCAACAGGACGGAATAAGGTAGATGTACTTTATTTATCTGCACATATACCCCTCAAAGTATAGAAATAACTGAAATGACTATTCTATGTGTCTGTCAAAAATTGGAAATGTGGTTGTTCCCATGTACCCTTAAGTCGGAGGCGTACATGCAGATTTTTGCCCAATTTTACTTCTCAGGCATAAATGAGGGAACATTGGTAACCTACACTCTTTGCTGTTTTAAAATGGTGTGATTTCATCATTTGAAGCCTGATCTTCCTTTGATGAGTGTTCTTTTGTAGTTTCCAGAGTAGAATATTCAGTATTTTCTGAGGGTAGTTGAATTTGATATCCAGAAATGATATTTGGGAAATCTTCAGAGCTCTCGCACGTTGCTTGTTTTGTATTAGTCTGCCTTTGAGACATATTTTGAAAAGAGACATATTTTGCTGATGATGACTTGCATTTTCATTTGCTTATCCCAGCTTCCAAATTTATCTTGGCTTTGTTCCCTAGATTACTGATTCATATAAACAATATGATTTTGGAAAAGTTGTTCGGCTGTTGCGAGCATTTTATACCAGAGAACTCTCTAACTTTTATTTCAGCATAATCAAAGATAGGTATGTATGACTGAATATTAAAATACACAACAAATATTTCTTGAGTGTCTACTCTGCTTGGCAAATGTTGGGCAGACAGTGGTGAGCAAGATGGACAGCATTGTGCAATTATTAGCAAGTTGGGTTCTAGTCATGTCTGGTTATGTATTTTTACCCTGCCACTTACTAGCTTTATGATTTTAAGTAACTTGTCCTATAATCTCAGTTTCTTTGTCTGTAAAATGGTGATGATAATACCTATCTCATAATGTGGTTATAAGAATGAAAAGAGGTAAGTTATGTGCTTTATGCTGTGTTTGAAGTAAGTGCTCAATAAGTAATAGCTGCTAATATGAGGTCATGAGTATGGTGCTCGTTCTCAGGAGTTTGCAAATCTAGAGGGGGAGAGAGAACTGTACAGGCAATTCTTAATGTAAACACGTTGTATAATGTCAGTAGTATTGTATAAGGCTTGATGCTAAGTGTTCAGTTATTGCTCCAGTATGTGGGTGATGGTGCTGTCTTTATAGTAACTAGGCTGGTGTGAGGTGTCAGCGCCAACCTGTCAGCATCTCAGGGACCTTCCTCATAGGGATTGTAACTACCGGTCTCTCCAGCACACACATGGCACTGCAGGGATGGGGAGGCACGTTTTAAATACGTCAACTAAATTATTAGTTGTCCTTTGACACAGTCATGTGGTCTAGACTCTATCTATTGTCTATATGAAAAACAGAACTGGACGTGGCTACTGAGAGTTTTTTTGAGGAGGTGGGCACAGCTGGGAGGAGGAAAGTGGAGTAGAGGCTGTTAACAGAAAAATGGTTTGATAGACTATTTTATTCTTTAATTAGAAGATGGTGAGAGTCATAGAATTAACGCTCTAAGAATAAACTCAACCTGAGACAGATCCTGTCTTGGCAATCATAATCTATAAAGTGTTGTTGACTGCTGAATAAGTTGTTGTTGTTCAGGCTTTATTGTGAAAACGCAAATGATCCCAAACGACGCTCTTGTCAGACTGCGTTAGCTGAAATTTTGGATGTCATAGTTCGTTCTTTTGCTCCCATTCTTCCTCACTTGGCTGAAGAGGTATTCCAGCACATACCTTACACTAAAGGTAAGGAATACTTGATTTGTTCTCAAAACAAAAAAGATCCCCGGTGAGGGCGCAGCTTCTCACTGTATCTGCTTCACTTGAGGAGCACGCACTCATCTACAGTGACATGATGTGTCTTGTCATTTAGTAGTCTCTGCACCTAGTGCAGAGGAGTAGGATGAATTTCATAACGGCCTTCGAGCCACCTTGAAGTGCTTTCTGAAATCAGTATTAGCAGCTTGACAATATTGAGAAATCACTTTTTCTTAAATACCTTTATGAATGTTGGAAATATATTTTAGGTTTTATTGAAACAATGTATAGTGCCTTTTCTATATTTGAATATTTTCTGTAGTAGTTTTTTCCCTCTGATTGTATTAGGCTTATAGATATAATGTGAAACTAAAGAAGTTGAGAAAGAGGAGGAAAAGTCACTCATAATCTTACTACCCAAAGACAGCTACTGTTAATATTGGGATATTTATATTTTATTTTCATCTAGGCAATCATTTTTTCTTTGAGATCTTACTAAATATTTTATCCTTTGTTTAAATATAATAGAATTATTTCCAAATGTTGACATAAATGTTTGGTAAGCATTTAAGAATGGCTTCATAATATTTTGTCACATGATTGCCATAAATAGCAAGTCTTTTTTCCCATGAAAAGAAAATATTTAGAGCCAGCCCTGATTGCCTAGTGGTTCAAGTTCGGTGCTCTCTGCTTCAGTGGCCTGAGGTTGGTTCCCAGGCGTGGAACCACACCACTCGTCTGTCAATAGCCATACTGTGGCAGTGGCTCACATAGAAGAACTAGAAAGACTTATAACTAGAATATACAACTAGAATGTACTGGGGGTTTGGAGGGGGAAAAAAGAGGAAGATTGGCAACAGATGTTAGCTCAGGGTGAATCTTTCCCAGCCAAAAAAAAAAAAAACCAAAAAATTTAATGGTTACAGCTTTATACGCAGTTTAGAATATATGTAAATTAAATTTTTTTTTTTTTCATTTTAAGAACCCAAGAGTGTTTTTCGTACTGGGTGGATTAATACAAGTTCCATCTGGAAGAAGCCCGGGTTGGAGGAAGCGATGGAGAGTGCGTGTGCCATGAGGGATTCATTTCTTGGAAGTATTCCTGGCAAGAATGCAGTCGAGTACAAGGTGATGATTGTGATAGAACCTGGACTGCTCTTTGAGATAATAGAGGTGAGCAGCGGTGTGTACCCTTTGAAATGGTGTTAGTATCATGCAGCTTCACCTGAAATTTGTTTCTTAAAAATCTGTATAAGTAAGATTTTTCTTTTTTTTTGTGAGGAAGATCAGCCCTGAGCTAACATCCATGCCAATCCTCCTCTTTTTGCTGAGGAAGATTGGCCCTGGGCTAACATCTGTGCCCATCCTCCTCCACTTTATATGGGACTCGGCCTCAGCACGGCCTGACAAGCGGTGCGTCGGTGCACGCCTGGGATCTGAACCCAGGCCACCAGTAGCTGCGCGCGCACTTAACCGCTGTGCCACGGGGCCGACCCCCAAATAAGATTTTTTTTAAAATTTAGAAACTAGGATTTCTGTCTTCTAATCCTGATATTATCACTGATTGTTTCCTATTCTCTATGCTTTCTTTCCCTTATAAAACATGCATTCTGTTGCTACCTACTTTATAAGTTGGGACAAGGAAGGTTAATAAAATTCTGTTTGAAATGCAAGCCCCCAGGCTATTTAGATGATGGGTGAAATAAATCTATGGCAGTAACATTAGAATACACAAAAATTGGAAGTTTTGTGTTAAAGGTCTGGTTTTCTGAAAATTTTGTCCATCTGGACCAGATTCAAAACACCAAAAAAAGATTTCCATCTTTTTCTCATGAAATCTGGAGTAAATTCATTTGCTCTAGCAAATTATCATGTGATTTCAAAGCATTTATCCTATTTTTATTTCCAAAAGGGCCATCAGAATTTTCTTCTTGGGATTCTTAGGGGTTGATTGGCTGGATTGGCTTATAGCTTAACATATTGACTCGAGATTTTTCTCTAGTTTTAATGCTTAAGAAGAGAATTGGCAATGAATATATTTTTAAAAAGTTTACCAGTATCATAGTGTTTTTTAAAATGACCATCTCATTTGGTTGGTAAACTCAGTTAAAATTGTTAATAATGTAATTAAATTGATTAAGATTTGAGGCTAGTAGGTATGGGGTTGTTAATCAGGTAATGGAATCTCGATAAGATATTCACATTTTACAATTTACGAGTTGGGAAGCTCTGACTCTTTCATTTTTTTTTTTATAATTTTATTTATTTATTTTTTCCCCCAAAGCCCCAGTAGATAGTTGTACGTCATAGCTGTACATCCTTCTAGTTGCTGTATGTGGGACGCGGCCTCAGCATGGCCGGAGAAGCAGTGTGTCAGTGCGCGCCCGGGATCTGAACGCAGGCCACCAGCAGCAGAGCGCGCGCACTTAACCGCTAAGCCACGGGGCCAGCCCAGCTCTGACTCTTTCATTTTGAGTGAGGAAACTGAGGACCATTGAAGCTGTGACCCAGCTAAGGCTATGCAGCCTAGTCCTGGGCTGTTCCCCTACATCTCATGTTTCCTTTGACTTCATTAGTTCTGAGTAATCAGCTGAAAAAAATACAGCTTGTTTGGATCATTTATGTTGGAGAAAATACTTTGGGTTTTTCAAAAATGTGAGTCTTTTGCTTAGGAATTACACTAAGTAGCTGTGAGATGGAGTCCTGGTTCTGTCAACTACTAATTGCATGAATTTGTTAAAACCAAATCAATCTCTTTGAATCTCCAATTGTCTCATGAGTTTTCTTCTTTTTTAAGGAATGTCTGTATTAGTTCACAAACTCATTTTGAAGATCAAAATCATAATGAAGAATGTAAAAGCTTATCAGACATCCAAATCCAGTGTACCTCAGGGGTTCTGTGCATTATTCAGATCACCACCACTGGTCTGCATTGCAGGAAGGGGGTCCTTTTTTTAGATAGTATCTTAACCCCTCTCCTAATGTAGGAAACGTGATCCAGGGAAACAAGTGTGGGCTTGGAGGCTGCCAGACCTGGGCTGGAATCGCAGTTCCTCCACTTCTTGGTTGAGAAACTTGGGCCGGTCAACCTCTCTGAGCCTGTTTCTTCATTTGTAAAATGGGGATAATAAACGTGTGTAGGTGGTTTGTGACGATTAGAAATGATGGACATTTAGTATCTAGCATAGTGAAGTGCCTGACATAGAGCATATTCCCAATAAATGCTATCGATTGGAAGTTTTTAGTTAAAACCTTTCATATTAGTAAAAATTTATGTATTTAATAGTATTAGCTTAAGCAGTAATGGTACCAAAGGGTTCCTTACTAAACATAAGAATTTGCAGTGTGTTTCTGTAACCTCAGTTTATGGTAAAAATGTAATATGTAATATGTAATGTAAAAATGTAATAACTTCCTCCCAGATGCTACAAGCTGAGGAGACCTCCAGCACCTCTCAGTTGAATGAATTAATGATGGCCTCTGAGACAACTTTACTCTCTCAGGAACCACGAGCATTAGCTGCAGATGTAATTGAGCGTAAAGGGACATTCCTAATCAATTTAGAAGGTAAGAAGGTGAGAGTAACGAGTGGTATCTGGAGAACTGAATAATTGTTAGGTCATCTCCAACTTCCCAGTGGTTTCCATGTGGTTTAAAGGCAGATCTACACTTGGAATACATCCTTCTATGGAAACAGTGTGAACAAAAGGGTCCTACCTGATAATCTTGGGCACACAGGGTTAGGGACAGAAAAGGGAGAGTTTTCCTTCCTGCCTGTGAATAAGTAATCGTCATTGTGTGTGAAGTTAGTTGGCCTCACTCGCGTTTGGCTTTTGTGTCTCTCTCCTTTGATACTTAGTCCCTAGTACTGCCCTGCCCGCCCACCCTTCTCCAGCGTTGATTCTAAAATTTCTTTTATGCACACCCCCAAATTAAAATATTATTTAGCCATTTTTGATGAGGAGTTAAGGAAGAAGTTTTATCGAACTCATTCCCACAGTGGTATCTCGTAGGCAAGCATTTTGTAGATATTTGTTTGATAGGTGATTTTGTCAACCTAATTCACTCTTGTTGATGGAAATGGAGGTAGAGTAACATTAACCGAAAATAATATGTAGATATTTTGGGAAAAGTGATGCTGCTTGTGGTTTTCATAGCAGCATTTAGGTACCAGCAGGAGGTGGAACCTCATTTATAGGCATCAGTTTAAATTTGAGGCCTGGCAGCACTGACCATGTAGTAAAGATTCTGCCTTAACTTGCTTTTCAGTTCATGTGCATTCTTTGTGCAATGACTAGAAAATAATTTACTTTCTTCACTCTATGTTATCAGTCTGAGTCTAAGAGTATTAATAGTGGAGAAAGTTTTGTTTCTTTTGTTCGAACCAAGAAGTTGTAAGTGGGGACACTGCAGGTGTCACTATAATTTGACTCTTTTTAAAATTCTTAACCAAGTACATAGCTGGAGAGGCAATGTAATTTATCAGAACTATACCTGGATTAAGAGCTAGAAGGCCTGCTCTGCTCTGAGTAGATACAGAACTCAGGGACTAGGGGAAAAATCGGTTAATCTCTCAGGGTCTCGGATTCCTCTGCTCTCTTCAGTTGTCAAGTTGTGTGATTCCATTGTCTTGGCTGTTTATGTCACATGGCAAATGAAACAGTAGCTGACAAGCTTTACTGAGGCAGGAAGGAGAAAGCTTTGAAAAAGGAGCATGTGCAAGACCAGTTAAGAAATAGTGAATCAAGGTGGATGGCTTGTCAATACTCTTCATGGATTTTTCTCTCACAGGTGGTGATATTCGTGAAGAGTCTTCATATAAAGTAATTGTCATGCCAACTACCAAAGAAAAATGCCCTCGTTGTTGGAAGTATACAGCTGAGTCTTCAGACACACTCTGTCCCCGATGCGCAGAAGTTGTTCGTGGAAAGTAGTCCCTCACGCTGGGGTTGACAGCTCTCTGAGGAAGAGCCCCCCGCCCCCGACAGTACTGACTGGGAGTTGAGATGCATTGTTTACAATGTGGAGAGAAATCCAACGTGTAGGTAATGAGTGAAGAGTAAATGATGGAAGATGTGGGTCAAAGTCAGAATTCTGACATATTCCTGTAACTCGATAAAAAATAATGTGTATATATACATGCGGAAAAATATATACGTGCAGATGGATATAGATATATCCACAACGGACTTATTCAGAACACAGACACTGAATACGCTTGCCTTCAAATGTGGCTGAGCAGAAAATGTTTTATATTTTATAAATCTTTTTGACTCAGTATTTAAGTTCTATAAATGTCTAAAAATAAAGCCCATCTGGAAAATTACTGAGTGATGTTGGTGTAGAAGTTGTGAATATCAAGTAAAAAAATGTGGTTTTGAAGAGAAGGACAGAGGAGTGTTTCCCTGAAGAGATGAAGAGAGTAATTTCATTCTGCCTTACTAGCTGGCGAACATAGCCTTCTGAGAATAGCTAGTATTTTTGGCTGCATGAGAAAGAAAGACATCATAAATTTGTTATTCCCATACAAGAGGGAAACAGTCGTAACCTAGGTTCATGGATGTTGAGGAGGGAACATGAGAGCTGGAAGTTTATTCCACTAATAAATGTACATCAGTTCACAACAACGCACAGACCCGGAAAACAGCAGTATGGACAGAATTTCGTTCCTTACAAGACATTACAATAGATCATAGAACATTTTATAAACAATTCAGTATTGGATTAAAATCTTTCTTTCTAGGGATGGCTAATTCTATTCAGCAGAAATCTAACTTTTAGAAGCCCCCAAACCCATGCCTGTTAGGATGAGAGAGGGCTTTCACTGCTGTTATCGAGTACTTTAAAAATATTTTTCTCTTATAAATGAAATGAACCACAGCAACTTCTAAGTGAACAATATATTCCATGTAAGCTTACTATTATTAAATCTTGGTTTTCTGTGATTTTAAGTTGCAGTTAATCATGTTTTTTTAAAAAAGAAAGCAATTTAAATATAACCGTTTACTTTGACCTTAGATGAATTTTTGTAACAAGAGTGAAACTCTCTCCATCGCTTACTTTCCTTTTTGCAAAAGTATGAGGCATTCAAAAGCTTGGTGCTATATTCCTCTTGATCTACATTTATCCTGGCTCTTCTAGTTCTACATCTAAACCCAACCTGTAATGTAGAAGTTATGAGTATGTGAACACTTCTGTTTGCCTTCAGCATTATACAGTGGAATTTAACAAGGTACAGAATGCCTACTTAATGTTCATGAAGGGAGCTGGATGGGGGTGGGAGTGTATCTAGGAAAACACTACTGGTTACTGGCTTCCCATTGATACCTACAGTACGTACCACAGAAACCACCCATTTCACATAAAATCTGACTCCTTATTTGTGGCTTTTCGTTGTTACAGAACGTATTCGTAGGTATTTATTTTCATTTCTTCTCTGAGATTTATTTTAAAAGCCCTTGATGAAATAGTAAAATATTTAGCCGCTTTTCTTAACCATACAAATCAGAATTCAATTTTAAAATTCTATGAATGGTAAATTGTAGGATTATAAATCTAACTAGAGACTCAATTATTTGTTATGGTTCTATGAGCCATGTTTTAGCTTATTAATATTCTCAGCAATCCCCAAATTTGATTATGTGTCCTACCAGAATAAGTTTAACCAGCTTTATTATCTAAAATGCTTATTAAGTACCCCCTTCCCCAAAAGTGATAGGATAGTGGAATCAAAGTGAGGATTTAATCTGTAAAAACACCTATAATTCCAAGTTTCTTTGACCAGTCTCCAAAATTCCTAACTACGTTCAGAGTATTTAGAAAAATCACAGGAAGAACTAATCTTTTAGCAGACAGGTAACAAGTGACTATATAAAGCTAGCTACAGTTACAAGAAATCAAATGCATGTGTCTGGATGGGGCAGCAGAGATCCAGGCAGAGGCTGGGAGGCTGGACTAGCTTCACTGCCACACTGTTCACAGTGTGCCCCTCAGTCAGATGTACAGGCCCTCACCCCAAATACTCAAGACATCTTAACATTTTATTTTTCAAGAATTTAAATTAAACAGTAATTATTAAGTTTTAGGCAAGTAAGTTCTTATTTGGATGTGATCTTTTACTTAAAAAGAATTTATACTGGGATATCCTCAAATATCAGACTTTTTTCTTTATATCCCTGAAGGACATACTCCTCAACTTTGTACGATTGCTGGAGTTGGCTTCTTACAGGAGATGAGGAAACAGACTTCTGTAGCACAGTGAGTTACTGTGGATAACAACTGTGATCCATGACAGCTATCAATAATATGGCTACATTCCACAGACAGACCACAGTAAATACTTGGTATCTGTAGCGCTCAAAGCCCTTTTTACAGAGTTTTGGTTAATTTGGTTTTAATCGACAAATAGTTCTTCAGCACTTGGACTGCTCTAGGCACTACAGGGTACAAAATTAGTTGTATTTTATCCTCTCAACCCAGCTGTGAGGTAGGTTTGCTAAAGCTGTAACATCACTAAGCATTTCCGTACTCTCCCCAGAACAGACACATTCCCACGTCCCAGAAGCAGACGTTTCTAAACACTTGTAGGAAAAATAAAGTTGGACTTAAATTTTTAGCATCTTTGCCTTTTTTGTTTTAACATAAGTTTTACAAGATAATACATTTTTACAATTACCTGATGTGGATACAACTTTGAACCTTGGCAAAAAGCAAATCGGAACTTGTGTTATAATTAATTTTGCTGTGATTGCTTGCATCTCAGATTCTCAATTTTGGTAAGTATAACGGGTTAAGGGTTCTATTTAGTGTCCCTTCTGATGACTATGATGATCTCGATCCCGGTATTCCTCCACGAGCAAGGTCATCGTCCTCAGGGCAGCAGCAGACCTCTGGGAGAGGAGCCTGCAGGCATCCAGAACTCCAGGTGGCCGGCCAGCATGGGTGAAGCGTGGTGACAAAGCGTTCTCCCAACATTTATTAAAGGAGAGCGGGATGTTGCTCTGATTTTACTGATGGGGACTATACATGAACACACTGAAGTTTAATTTCAACAATAACATTGAGTATGAAATATAGAATCTTATAATAAGAACATAATCTGTAAATTATAACCAGTTTTAAATAGCAAAGTTTAACAATAAAGCTACTTCAGTGCTTGAATTAGAAATAAACAGTAAAACATCTGTATTAGTAATTAATAGTATAATTGATATCTGTTGATATTTTGAGTTTTAACCAAACGAGTGGAATTTAGCCAGGACTGCACTTTTTAAAAGTAATATATATTTTTATTTATTTTACAAAAGAAAAAAAAAAAAGACATACTCCCTCCATAAAATTCCAGATCTTACTATGTAAAATAACCATGCACTAATTCATAGTATAGTCACACGGTTTGACTGTTTTCAGTAGGTAAGTGTCATAAACAAGGAATAGATATGGCTTCCACAGCTTCAATGAGGTGTAAGGCTAAACTATACTGCCCATGGTTTTCCGGTAAAAGCTCAATTACTTTATGTACCAGTTTAGCTGTTGTTGCAATTGGCACTTCTGTGTTTTGAAGATCCTGGGGGTCCTGCAAATGGGACACAAAAGTAACCCATCAGGTATATACAACTAAACAATAATTGATTGTTACCAACTTAAGAGTTATCAGAACAGTTATTTCCCAATAAAAATGCTTTTCTTCTGAACTAAGTAAACCAAACTTATAATTTAAATTTTCTCCTTAACTGTTATTAAATATGCATTTAGGAAAACATCCAGTGACCTTCTGATTTGTCTCATTCTGTTGTACTTACCATGGCTTTCAGCCAAGTACAGAGAGTGGGTGGGAGTCTGGCAAGCAGCTCCATTCCTTCTTTGGTCTGGCTGTGGAGTATCGCGTAAGCCAGCCTCTGCCCTGTCAACACCAGCAGCTGAGAGGCAAGGACCTCTTTGTCCTGCACCTGGAGAATGGCCTGAGGAAATGAACACGGACAAACATACAGTGATAGCTCACAGATTTCTTTACTCTATGAAAGGCATTGCCAGGGAAGAGATTCTGGGTCATTTTTGAGTTATGGCCATGTATATCACCAAAATAAAGTCCAAATCAAACTTAGCATTCAAAACCCAAATTTCTGCCATCATCTTAATTTTTTTTCTCTTACCACCTAATTTTTCAATTCAATATGACTATATGAGTCATTTTCAGGCTTTTGGCAAACAAAGGGAACTATATTAAATCACATCATGACCGCTCAAAACCCTCTAAAGCCTTCTGAGTACACTTTTTTTTTTTTTTT